TAGTGAGCCAAACATCGTTTTCTTAAATATATTTTAATTTATATTGACATTATAAACGTTATTAAATCACTTTGATAGCTTTCTATTATAACAAATTTCATTTAAATTTAGCTCCTAGAAAGATGAGCATCGTTTATAACTACAGAATTGTTCAGTAAATATATCTTTTATACAATAAAAATATTAGAGGCCCAAAAATATATGAAAGGTAGGGGATGTGGAAGTTGGGTAAAACAATTACAACCTAATTTACAACCTTCAGAGGTCGCTGTCGAGTTAACAATTATTTCATTTGTACGTTTGTTTTAGGATTAATTTTATCAACCGCATATCCTCCTTAAGAACACAATCGCATATGTAGATTGGACGAAACTTACTTTGCTGCAAGTTCTGTAATAGGCCATTTCGCCTGTTATAGTCATCCGTCATAAAATACTTTGTGTTCTAATAATTAATAAATTATTATTATTGCTATTATTAGCTTTTCCGGAGACAAAATGTATTCATGCTATCATTGTATCATTATGTTCTTTTTCGTTCCTTTGTCCAAGTTTTATCTGTTCGTATTTTGATTTTACTGCAAATTGTAAGAGAATTATTAGTACTTCTTTTTGATGTGATGCGTTTTCGAAAAAGAAGGTGCGATGTCCGAGACGTCGCAGAACAGAGGGCGTATTAAGAGAACCGTGGCGTGGCGTGGCGTGGCGGGGTGGGGAGTGGTGGGAAAGGAAGGCAGAATGTTCGCTGGGATGCGGCCTGCGGGGCCATTGCCGCCGCCTGTGGACGGAGCTCGCGTGCCGGAGAGCAAAGCCAAAGGCCCGGCGCTGCACTCATCGGGAGCTTCCCAGGCGCCAGTGGCCCAGTTCTCCTGGCGCGGGGGCGGCGGGGCCCGGAGCGCCTCCGCGGCCGGGCGAACACGGGCGGGGGAGGGGGAGCGGCGGACGGGCGGAGAAAGCGCGAAGGCGTTCCGGCGGGCGCCGAACGCGAAGGCGAAGGCGGGGCGGCGGCCCGCGACGGGCGAGAGCGCGACGAACTCGGCGGGAAGCCTCTGCCCCCGCCGGCCCCCGCCCCCGCCCCCGCTCCGCTCACAGCCCGGCGGGTGCCGCTGCCGACGCTCCGCGGGCCGGATAGAGCAGTGCACGTAGCGTTTGCACACCGAGTATTGCTGCGGAAACAAAGAATTACGACTCCCACGCTTTGCATTCCGCTCTCACGGAGATAACATAATTAATTTCCGAATCTCATATGCCTATCTGATACTACCACAGACCGTTTATGATTTGCCGGAAAGTCGCCAATTCGTCTAATGGTATACAATGTACAATTTGCAAATTTTTCGTTATTTTTGAACAGTTCAAGAATTGTTCACACATTTCATTCCACTATTTGGTTGAATATTTTAATATGCATTCCTAAAGTTAAAATGTTGCGTTGACAAAGTGCGCCCAACGTAACAAATCAGTTAGAATTTTGGAACTAAAATAACCTCCTTGACTCTGTACACAAAACTACGAATGTGCAGGCACAATTTTAAGTAATATCACTTCAGAAGTAAAATTTAAAAAATAGACAACTTAAAGTACGTTCAAAATATTAACTATATTGCAATTTTTGATACATATATTCTTTTTTGCAAAAAGTTAAGATGTCATAAATAAATATAAAATTGCTATTGAAAAATAGAGAGTCAACGAATTGGTCTAGTTCGTCCGTTAATGGAATACGAACCGGTTTGTTGAGACCCTTATAGAAATTCACAAAAGGAATATTTGAATAGAGTACAGAGAAGAGCGTGTTAACTTACTTTCCTAAGCAAAAGTAAAAAACTAAAATGGGAGTCTCTAGAAATCAGGAGGGCTAAGGCAAGACTCTGAGCTCTGTACAAAGCGTATTCCGGTTATCCAGCTTGGAAAGATATCTACATCCGACTCAGTGGACCTACATACTTTAGTAGAGGGGATCACAAGCACAAAATTCAGTTCATATTAATTAGTTCGTATTAATATTTCTAATTGACCTAAATTCCTAATCCTTTGTTGACTTTTACAACTAAGTAAATCGCATTTTTCAAATTTAACATCTCTAGACAACAAGTAAATAATATTTACTGAATCTTAAATTCGGAAATAATATCCTGGTAGTCTAACCTATCGATTTGTCGTCATCATAAATATTAAAATTTATCAATGCATTGTAATTATACGTCGTTTTATCATGAGTTTAACATATGTAGGAAAATAGAAAGGTTTATTACGTAAGGCTGCAGGTCCACTTTCAAAATTTTCATGGGGGACCACGGCCAAATTGCCAATCCCCTCTGTGAGGACACATATGTCAATGAATGGTTTTTAAATGCGAAGATCGGTGAGTGAAATTAAATCGTCGAATTTTGACACGTTTAGTAAAGATAACAGCATTTTAGGAAATGAGATAATATACCACGAAAATATTTTACTTCTCGGAAAAGAAAAAAGGTGAGAAAATCAATTAACTTGCAATAATTCAATTGAAATATCCTTCTTTGAACTTGGCGTTAGTCTAAAAGACGGCACGCACCGGCATGATCTAAGGAACTCATGTCGCTCCTCACGCCCCTTTTGCTGTGCGCAGCAATTCTCTGCGCCTTGCTCCACTGCCCCCCCCCCCCAGTTCCCTTTTTCACGTAATGCACTTTTGCGATTCGCTTTCTCTTGGAGAGGGTAGTGTCATGTTCCCGCAAAAAGGGACAGTGAAACAGGAGACGCGTAGAAAGCGCGAAAAAATAAAATATAAGAATCTGGAAGTTCTTTCCCCGCGTCATTTTCACCTCCTCGTGCGAACGGTCCCTAGCCCTCGGCCCATTTAATGCCGAGCTACGTGTCCACCTTCAGTTACTTGTTCTGACTCTTTTGTAAATTGATGTTTTGATCGCCTTAAAATTCCCTAGTCCTTTGCCCATTTAATGACGAGCTACGTGTCCACCTTCAGTTACTTGTATTGACTCCTTTTTAAATTGATGTTTTGATTGCCTTAAAATGTTAACAACTCAAAGATTTTTTTTTTTTCATTCTTCAATTTACAGTTTCAGCGCATTTATCATTGGAATGTTCCATCTCGCTATTTTGTTGAAAATTCACGTTGCGGGTCCCCGATTAAAAAAAGTTGTTTTCAATAGCGTCTCTCCATCCAGTTCCAAAATCAGCTTCCTTTTAAATGTTGCGTATTGGCTCCATTTTCGTAAATGTCTCTATATGTACGAGTTATAGATTTAGTTTATTTAAATTGTTTCCTATATGATTACGTTTGTATATTGCATTTTTAAAAACTCCCGAAAACTTGTTGAGAAAGTTGAGATATTTTACAAAACGAAAATCAAAATGTACGAGAACACTAGAATTAAATGAGTTACGCGGACTAATTTGTTAAGTAATCCGTACGCAATACTAGCAATGAGAATTAACGTTGTTGCTTGTCAACAGAAATAATAAAAATTCATTGATGAACAGAATCTTTGTACGAATATATAACCTTTACAGGAGTTTATAAAAAAATATAAACCGAATTTCTCCATTTGATAGATTTTTTTTATTTTAAGTATCACTGATAGATTTATAAAGAATACAATAACCTGCAATTCCATGCAAAATGCGCAATATCCATTACTCTTTTCAGCATAATTTACTCAAGACATACACACGTACGAATCCGCATACAAAACGTTACACACCCGCATACATTATTGTATAACTCAACACAAAACACAACATTCATTAATTGGCAAACAATGATTTGTATGCACACCCGCACATTCATATCCATTCAATGCAAACCCCAAGTACCTCGCCCAGTGTAATCTTGAAGGCAATCCGCACATGCCCACACATATTTGTACAAACCCCGCGCGTACGTTCATACTTGCGTACAATGTCGTCTGTTGTCATTGTGCAGCCCTATTTCCATTAAAACAGTTTGCAAGCACACGCTATAAGAAAATGCTCAAAATAAAATAACTGCTATAATTGTGCTGGAGGCTGCAGCAGAAATATTGAGGAATTGCATGTGGAGTGGTGTGAAATGATCTTCCACAAAATAAATGTAATTAGGAATGTTAAGTATTTTCACGTTACCTGGACATTTTTATCTTAACATTTTCAAGTTAACAAGAATGTTTTAGTATTTTCACGCTACCTTCCTACTCATGCTTGGTCAGAACCGTGAGCTGTTTATATGCTGTTGCTTTTTGTGCCACTGTTTGGAAATAAGTATAAATAGAATAACTTAATTAAATTTGTTTTGCGGAAGATTATTTCTTATAATCCACTCCGGATTTACCATGTAGTGCTTCTGAGCGCTACATAGTATTGTAGCATTAACTGCCGTGGTCATTATTCTCGTGAGTGAAGTGTATGTCATATCCCGGGAGGTGGCGTTGTTCCTCCCCTACTGAATCAAAGTTTGGCAACGACCTAGACGTTGACATGCGGGTATTCCATTCCAGGTATCTCCCTCAACGGGTCACTGCCTCAGCCGAGGCAAACTCTACTCTTTGTGTGTGTGGTAGTGTAGCCCATGCAATGTGTATGTATGTGTGTATGAAAGAGAGGGAGAGAGTAAAAGGAGAGGAGGGAGCAAAATTGTGAAGGAAAGATCGCGTGCGGTCCATGGTCCTTTTGTTAAGGTACTGTTTCGTGCCGGTCCGGGTGATGCCGCGTTGTTGGCTGAGAGACCGACGTTTCACCTGTCATATCGCAGGCTTCTTCAGGGTAGTGACCTGAAGTCCTCTAGTGACCTTTGTCTCTACCCTGAAGAAGCGTGCGATGTGACAGGCGAAACGTCGGCCTCTCAGCCAACGACGCGGCGTCACCCGGACAGCCAAGAAGTCATGAACTTGAGCCATGGAAGCGTACGCGTTCGAAGATACTGAACTCTGATTTCCGATCAGAGCAGCCGGCTGCTTAAATTACAAATTGCCCATCATCCATCCGAATATTTGGTTCGTAAATGTGTTTCCTCTTGAGCAGGCGGGAGCGGGAACGAGAGCGGGAGCGAGAACGAGAGCGGGAGCGCGAACGAGAGCGGGAACGAGAGCGAGAGCGGGAGCGCGAGGCGGCGTTGGCGTCGCCGAGCGAGTGCGGCTTGGCGCATGCGCAGGCGCACGCGCTGGCGCTGGCCGGGGAGAGCATCACGCGCATCGTCACGCCCAGCAGCCCGCCCGTGCGCCACACCTTCCAGGTACGCTCGCCACACGCACCTCCTCCCCGGCGCGGCTTTTCTTATTTTTTTTTATTTACACTGAGGTGATAAAATTCATGGAATCCAGTATCTCCTACTCTCGTGTCGAACCACATTTGCTCGGCAAAGTGCAGCAACTCGACGTGGCATGGGGTCGACAAGGTGTTGGATGTCCCCTGCAGAAATAGTGAATCATGCTGACTCTATAGCCGTCCATTATTGCAAAAGTGTTGCCTGCACAGGATTTTGTGTACGAACGTTTCTCGATTATGTCCCGTAATTGTTCGATGGGATTCATTTTGGACGATCTGGGTGAGCAAATCATCCGCTCGAATTGTCTAGAATGGTCAGCAATTGTGGTCCGCTGACAAGGAGCACTGTTGTCCAGTAAAATGCAATTGTTGTTTCGGAACATTATGCTCGTGAATGGCTCCAAGTGGACTCCAAATAGCTGAACATAACCATTTCCAGTCAATGAGTCACAAGAGATCCTATTCCATTTCATGTAAAAACAGCCCACACCATTATGGAGCCACCGAAGGCTTGCACAGTGCCTTGTTGACAACAAGGGTCCATGGCTTCGTGAGGTTTGCGCCACACTCGATCCCTACCATCAGCTCTTACCAACAACTCGTCTGACCCAAACACGATTTTCCAGTCGTCTAGGGCCCAATCGATATGGTCACGAGCCCAGGAGAGTTGCTGCAGGCGATGTCGTGCTGTTAGCAATGGCACTCGAGTCGGTCATCTACCGCCATAGCCCATTAAAGCCAAATTTCGCCGCACTGCAGTAACGGATACGTTCGTCGGACGTCTCACATTGAGTTGTCCTGTTACTTGTCTGGTAGCATTGACAAATCTACGCAAACTACGCTGCTATCGGTCGTTAAGTGAAAACCACCGCCGGCCTCTACGGTGTTCGTGGTGAGAGGTTATGCTTCAAATTAGGTATTCTCGGCTATCTATTGACACTGAGGATCTCGGAATATTGAATTCCCTAACGATTTCCGAAATGGAATATCCAATGCAATTAACTCCAACTACATTCCTCGTCCAAAGACTGTTAATTCCCGTCGTTCGACCATAATCACGTCAGAAACCTTTTCATATACTAAATCACATGAGTACAAATGAATGCTCTGCCAATTCATTGACCCTTTATACCTTTTGCTCGCGATACTACTACCATCCGTATATTTGCATATTGCTATGCCATGACATTTGTCACCGGGTATTTATTTATTTACTTGTGTGGTTGGGGTACATCAAAAATTATAGATTATGTGTATTACACGCTCACGTTTATTTGAACTTCTGAATCCTTACCTCCACTCTTTCCCCAATAGAGTTGTATTGTGAATAAAAAATCGCGTAGAGTGTTGTTGAGAACATTTAAAAACAATATATTTTCGCTCCCGTGTAAAGAGAGCCATTCTCATAGACACACGAGCTGCATATTTGATTTAATGGTATAGTTGTCCGAATAACCAAAGCCTCTACTCTTCACGCATCTACCGAAAACATAGTTCAAGGAAATGTGTACGGATTATGCCTCCGCAGAATTTCAGCTTACACCGCTCAATTTTTATATTATTTATTGAACTTAACTGAGTGCTCGCGGTATATTGAGAAAGGTGAAGTTATGTCGCGGTTATTCGCGAAGTCAATAAAATACTCTGAGCGTAAACTTACAACACGTCGCGACGGCTGCCTCGGAGACAATGGTGGCGATCAGAGGAGTAGTGAATGTGCTTAAACTGCGTCTCTTCATTATAAAAATGCTTTATTAATGAAGGGCATGGAAATAATTTTGTGTATTTCAAATTATTTCTTCATATCCTGAATGTTCAAAAACGAATAATTATTATTGTTAAATGTTATGATCAAAGTATCCTTTGTAAATAAAACCAATAATTTTGGGAGGGGGAGGTTCGTGGGTACTTCCATACCTACACACGTAATTGCTCCAAAATACATTCCGTCTTGATTGATGCTTACTTGACTGACATAATTTGATCTCCTGAACATGTAACATCATAAACAATGATACTTTTTTGCTGATAGACTGGGATTTGCTGGGATAGGCCGAAGTTAGCTTCAATTCTTTCTTACCATTGGACACTTAACACATAAATGAAGCAGTCGCCATAAAATTCATAATATGTCTCGTATATATCAATGCGTCTTACGGTAATATTTTCAAGAGTCCCACAATCAGCCGGAGACTAGCCGATTTACTAAGAACGACACGTGAAGTCCCGGAGGTTAAGCGTTAATTCTAGGTTTCTGGATGGGTGACCGTCTGGCAACTCCGGATATCTAATGTCGCCGATCCTCTGGCCGAAGGGATAAAATACAATGACAAGGTTAAAGAAGGATTACTCCTCTACACGTTCGACGCCAGAACTTGGGTATAGTAAACATTGTTACGAATTAACGTAACCGTTATTATTTGCTTGATGTAAAAGTAAAATTAATATATTTCCGTAAAACACTTCTCAAATTGTATATTTTTTAAACCAGAGACGTAGAAAAGTCGATTCTTCTTAGTGAAGCTGAGAATGAATTGAGAAAGCTCCCAAGTGCTTCTCCCTTTCCTGTTTCAGGCGTTGCCGCTGTTGCTGTCGCCGCAGACGGCGGCCACGGCGGGCGGCGCGGGCGGCGCGCGGCGCAAGCGCTCGGTGGAGGGCGTTCGCATCGTGGACGCTCGCGACGCCCCGCCGGTCCGACGGCGCCGCCCCTCCTCCGCAGGCGGCGCGTCCTGTCGCGCCGCGAGTCCGAACCCTCGGGACGTCCCGTGGTCGGTGCCGGTACCGGTGCCGGAAGCGCCGCGGGGGCGGCGGCGCGTGAACGGGCGGCGTGAGCGGCCCTGGCGCGCAGGCCTGCGCCTCCAGCGCTCCAGGCGGCCCTGCCCCCGGCCCGCCGGCCCCGCCCCGGGCCCACCGCGGCAGAGCGCGTAATTCGCGGACGCGTCGTCTCGCCTTCGCCAGCCGCCCCCGTGCCGCCGCCCAGCGTGGCGCAGCTCATCCACCATCATGCCCCCGCCCTCGGGCCGCCCGCGGCGCCGCCCGCCCGTTGCACGGCGCTGCTGCACGCCCACGCTCTCCTACCGCTTCCACGCTGCTGCGCGCCGCCGCCGGGCCGCAGCAAGCAGCAGCAGCCGCGCCAAGCGATCGCAGCCCCCGGCCCGCGACCGGCCCCGAGATCGCACCAACGTGCCGACGCCCACATCCTCCCCCGCCCTCCGCCGGCCGGCCCTCGTCGCCTCCGTCTCCGCCGTTCGCCGGCCACACCGCCTGTCGCCGCCCTGCGTCCCCAGCCGCCGCCGGACCGGTCTCGCTGGAGCCCGCCCGCGTCGTGCAGCGCGGCATCCCCGTGCGGCGCCCGCAGCAGCCCCAGGTCCGACGCGACGAGGTGCTGGCGGTGGCGGGCGCCGGCGCGGTGGCTGTGGGCCGCGCACTGGACGAGCTGATCGAGCCGCCTGGCGCCCCGTTTTTCCCGCGCCGCAGCTGGCACGACTTTCCACGAGCTGGAACCCATCAGCCGAGCACGGGAGCACCTGGAAACACGGGGACAGCCCCGCCGCCCCCGCCCCGCCCCGCTCCGTCCCCGCGCCAGCCCCCGGCACCCGGCCCCGGGCCCCGGGCGACGCCCTCGCACAGACGCGTCTGAGCGTGCGCTAAACACACGCAAGTCGACGCCCGCCCTTCAAACCAACCCGCAAACGGCGCTCTCCGCGCCCCCCCACCACGCACCCGCCCGGCGGCGCACGCGGCGCCGCGACTCGGGAGGCGGTGGAGGCGGCGGTAGCGGCAGCAGCAGCAGCAGCAGCGAGGGCGGCAGCGAAATCGTCGTCCGCGAATCCACAGTGTGAGGCGCGCATGCCTCTGCACTTTGCCGCCTTTGAACAGTGTCTCGTTGTACGTTTGCCAGAATAAAGTGTTATATGCAAATTAAGTGGATTTCACTGCTTTATCTTCGACGGTGCGCTATTGCTAATTCCTAACCTACACATTCCTTTAAGTGTTTTAATAAGCTTCAACGCTTAAGAGCGTTTGTTTAGTAAAAATGCACTTTTGTTTAGCCCAAATAACAAGTGTTATTTCAGGCAATCAAATGTGTCACTATCATAATCAATAAGTCTGTTATTTTATTTAGTCTCTGTTAAAAATATAATTGAAAACTTTCCTGGTCGTCGTAAAGCAAATTTTGAACGATACACCTTAAACATAATTAACAAGAAATGTAGTGGGAAAGCGATCATGATTCTGTTTGCATCTAACTTGTTTCAATAAACCAAAGTACTGTGCCCGAGGTTCATCGAGTAAGGAGGCAAGGGCGGAGGAAAGGGCAGTACACTGTAAGCTATCATCACGCTTGCCTTTCCTTTCGCGCAAGATCAGAATTTTTACATACACCCCACCCTTCGCAGCGAACTGTCGGAGGTTAAGCTCCGGTTGAGGGTACCGCTATCCTGAATCCCAAAAACTTTGCGACCTTTCTAAAGCAATGGAGACTATGTAGAAAATTACTCGATGTATTAAATCGATGTAAATGAATCTAAGTAAAAACTCCATGTGCTGAATCATTGATTTAAAGTATCGAGATTATGCAAATTGTACATTTTCTTTTCAATATTTTGGTTTATTTTTATATTTTTTCATATTTTATTTTATAAATACGTTCCACGTGAAAGTAATATTTTAATAAGAGCTTCAATATTTCATTAAATGTGAATAACACTATGGATGGCTGGCTGGCTATGTATGAACACATCGAAAAAACATACGAGAAAGTACGGAAGCGAGCAAAGACATTGGTATGTGCCGTTCCTAAATGTATTACTGTCTCTAGCATCTCTCAAGCATCCACATCATCCACTCAGTAATTGCTCAGCAGATAGACATTTTACGTACTTCGAACTGCGGAATTAAGGATTCTGGAGAAACTGAACATAAAACCTAGTCATTAACGACCCGGAGGGGGGGGGATTATTCAAGGGAAGTATGTGAAGAGGCACTTTATCAATTTTTTTTAACAATTATATTTTAACAGATTTCTTATCATGTACTCTGAGAATGTTGGTTTTAATAGATATGTAAGTGTATTTTTAAATGACACGCGCATAACTTTATGACTGAGCCAAATTCGTTTGTTTTGCACTTCTTTAATAGTGCTGATGTTCCAAATGTGAATCCTTTGTATGCTGTAATGTGTATTTTATTAGAAACACCAATTCACATTTCAATGACTAGGATAAGTAAATTTCGAATTGTAGGCGCCCTAATAAATTTCTCTAAATATCTAAAGTTAAACATACAGGAGAAAACTACTACTTTAGTTAAACGGCTATGGTTTAAGGAATTTCCGTAATTGTGTTGCTCTCCAACTCTGTGGAAATTGTTTTGTTAGAATTGCTTGATTTTTAACAAAAACAACGTTTGAAACAACATGATGTGCCGCTCTGTTGCTTGTAGCTTGGTTGTTGCATACACACGGCAGAGCATATAAAATGAATGCATTTCAGATTACATAAATGATTTCGTACCACCGTAGAATTTGCAACGTCCAATTATTTATGTTCAGGTAGATGATATGACAGGTACGTAGGATACACAGGTGACTCGGTGTTTTTTTGATGAATATTATAATTCATAATAACTTCTGCAGTTAGTAAGAAAATAAATGAAAGAAGGTATCACAGATAAGTTCGCAGCCTTCCAGGACAGAAGATCGATTTGGTGTACAAGAAATAAGCGATCTCTTTTATTAAGATAAGCATGTGTGAATCTATGTTTCCCTACTAGCTATAACGACTAATCTAATAACACAGCCACGAGTCGCTACTGTAACGACCGTAAGAAGGAACTTCAGTCTGGTGGTAACGTCCGGTCTCGATCTACTCAGTGATACAAAAACAATATATTGATCTTCAATAAGGAACGTAAGAAGACGGCTACAGGTAGTGATGACACATTTTACCCAAACATCGATATTTCAATATATCACCAAAAGGTTTTTGATTTCGATACATAGACAAAAAACATCGACAAAAAACATACACAAAAAAACATCGACAAAAACATCGGTTTTTAAAATATCCATTTTTTAAATATTATAAAATTTGTGGTATTTTCCCTACCTATTTCCATTTTAATTATTGTACTTGAGTGAAATGTTGTATTGTTTGATCATGTACAAATGAATGTTAAAAATAATCTTTATTGAAAAAGAAATCTTTCCGACTGGGCATCGGCAACAGTGATAAATGTCAAGGCCTATTGGTTTTGAGCAATCCACCAAAAAATAGTTACTTAAAATTGTATTTATGTCATGAGAATTTATTTTTAATGTCAATGTTTCTGGAAAATATATATGAATGTGAAGAAAACATCGGACCCAAAACATAGATGTTACTATATCGATTTTTCTGTTTTAAAAACATCGATGTTTTTTGCCATCCCTTGCTACAGGCGCCTACACACGTGCCCATTTGTCGGACCGACCCTCGGGGGTAGTCAAATTAGACGCTTGGCTACAAATTGTCCAACCCAATTTTCCGGTTTCGGCACATGTCGGCTCTGAACTAACGTGTCAGAAATCAGAGGAAACCGAAACCCTGTAGTCGAGCTGTTGCACAATGATTCCAAACCTCGAAAATCTGGTCAAAATGAAAATAAATTCTATGTTCAATACAGAACTATTAACATCAGGACTTTTATGTTCACAGTTGTTCATCCTAGACCGTATTTTCACCTTCCTTTTGACGAACGATTCCTGAATTTTCTCGAATGCGCAGTATTGCTTCTGGATTCCATAAGCCACATTGCACATGCGCGCGTTCGTTAAAACTCCGAAATCATTCGTCAGAAGGAAGCGTGTAAATCGGGTTTTATAGTCGTGGAGTTAAAATATAAAAGGACACAACTTTGTATTTATCTTCATAGCTCAGTTCTAAAACAACCCAAGTAATGGACTATTCCGATTGAGAGAAGATAAGCAATTATCTTATTAAAATCTATCGCAAAAGTTATGTATAAACATAAAACGTGAGAAAATATACGAAATAATTTAATGATGAATATTTATTAATAATTAAAGGAAGAGAGGAAATATGAAATAATTAAAGTTTTGGAAAATATATAAAAATAATATAATGCACACTATATAGGACAACTTGGTGCTCTTCAATAACATGTAACATAACACATAACATTGAAATATATAACAAATAATGCATTTTTCCTCATAGTTATTGTCAAACTAAAGGCTACTAAAATAACGAATTTTGAGAAGATATTTTAATTTTGTGATATATTTCAATTTTTTCTGCCATATTGAATCTCTAGTTTTATTTTTGATATCTCTGATTTCATATCAACGACTCTTCAAAACTTTCTATTCTAGAAAACTTTCCAATTATACGACCCTTTTACATTTAGTTCAGAGGTCTGAAATCAATGTAGATTGACCAAACTACACACCACATAATTCGGCGGAAAGTATGGCGGCGGGAGAATCGATGGCCGACGAAACCAATCACACCTTTTCAATTCAATGATCTGTTATTTTTTTCCTTGGCGAGGCTCGGACCAGCATGCTCTACCGCCTGACCACACACATCTCGCTACTCTTCTTTCGCCATCAAGAGAAAGGCGACGAAATAGGCGATTTCAATTTACCTCAGATTTCTTAAGGCTTAATGATCTTTTACATGCAATAAATCTGGGACCCGACGGAGGCCTTTTCCTCACAGTTATTTCATGTAGCTTTGAATGGGGAATTGAGCATTGCTCTTATACTCAACCCTCGCAGTTGTACTAGTACTCGTATACCGTTGGGATGACATCCGCACACGCTGGAACGCGATGCTCGCGTACCGGGAGAGGTGGCTCAGAGCATCAATTGATGCCACTGCACTGCCTCTGACCGGGAGGTCCTCGAGTTCGAGTCCCGATGGTGGCAGGATTTTCGACACTAGATTGTCAACTAGGTCGAATTCAGCGGCTTGGAGAAGAATTCTAGCGGCCGGCTGCTCTGATCGGTAGTTTTCTGTGGTTTCTCCGATCAACACCAGGCAAATGCCGGAGCAGTACCCTAACAAACGACACGGATCGCGCGCGATCTTTCCTTCCTCTTCCTCGTCCTTTCCTCGCCTCTACACTCACACGCACACACACACACACACACACACACACACACACACACACATGCGCGCGCACACACATACATACCAGTCCATCAACTGTATTGCGACAACCAAGTTTGACCAAATTGGTCGCATTGAGAGAGGAAGGAGGCTAAGAGGATGATGTGCCATTAACAAATCAATGTTCATTCTTTCAAAAATCTCGTCGGCGGTAATGAGTCCATCTCGCTGACGCAGGGAGGGAAACGAGACGGTAGGGGTGAGGGCTGCCATTGCAATGTTGAAAAAGCATTTGCGATGGGATTCTCTCTCGTGAGCAGGCAAAGAAAGGTAGTTGGGACAACCTATTTCTAGAAATTCGATATCACCTGCCACCAAGCTTCGCGCCCGGACATAAAGTCAAATGTGATTTGCTCGAGCAGGCTCGCGTTGGTAACCGGTATGGAGCCTCAGGGCATCAACTGATGTCATTGGAGTGCTTCTGACCCGGAGATCCCACGCTTTGAGTCCCAACGGTCGCAGGATTTTCGACTCCAGATTGTCAGCTACATAGGTCGAATTCTGCCGCTGTCTGAAGGAGAATTCTTGCGGTCGGCTGCTCTGATCGGTAGTTTTCCGACGTTTCTTCGATCAACACCAAGAAAATGCCAGAGCAATACCCTAACAAATAGATCACGGACCATGCGCGATCATTCCTTCCACTTCATTGACCTTTCCTCACATCTACTTACACACTCACATGCGTGTGTAGTCACGAGCCCTTTCTGGAGGCAAGGGATTTGCGTTCACCACAGTCTCTTGTAACTTTCCTCGAGTAAGAGAACGAGAGAAAATATGCGGCATTGCACGCCATTTCGATTGTTTCCCTTCCTTTCTTTCTGGCTTCCTGCTCGGTTTTTTGGACAGCTTTTGCTTTTATATGGAATTTACAAGCCCTCCCCCCCCCTTCATTTCGGGTAGGTATCACGGAGCGGCCGCTCCGTGCTTAATCCAGGCCTGAATAAACTACGTTTGTTTAATGCTTTCTGGAATACCTACCAAAACCTTGAAAACTGAAAAACCTACTTCGTCGGTTGAAAAAGCACTTATCCGCGTATATCGCAATATACATACCTAGAACATATTTTAGCGACTCTGGAAAGAAAGTTCATAACATAATATTTCAGTATAACCTGAACATTATTCAAATTAAAAGCATTTAGTATATCATGGTCAGAAACTCAATATTATAAATTTATTCTTTTTCGCTGCCGATAACCGATTTATATAACCCTTTATAATCATTCTTAAATGCGTAGTTTAAATATATTTTGAAATACAATGTACAATATCTGCCATTCTTACAGAAATACAACAATAACTTTCTAAATTTAAAGTTGTCAATTTGCAGCTTAACTATTAGACCATTTATAGACAATTGCTGCAGAAGGGTTTTGTTGAAAGAGATAAGTGGAGAAAGGATATAATACAAGGTACGTCAGTGAAGTGAGTCATATACTATGGCAGTTTGTGCAATTGAAATTGATTTAGAACAAAATGAATATGACATCCTATCGTCGTGGAAGCCACACACATTTATATATTACCATATTTATAACATTTACCTAATTTAGTTCATCGCATCAAGTACTAAAATCATTCAGACGTTATATTTTTCCACAATCATAGATCTTGATGTTTGCGATTAGTGCTTCCGAGTTGGCGCTCCTTCGTGTGACGTCACAACGGTATCAGTGTCAGAAACTACAGAAATTGGGTTAAGTGCGTTGGAGGTCTGAGTGGAAATTCTGGAAAGATTTGTTGTTCTAATAAAAGAAATTACCTTAAAATGCGTCGATGTCTCTGTTATAAGAACTTGTCTTTGTGGCTCTGAGTGAAAAGGGCGTACAAAATCACCATGGAAGCTGATTATCAACAAAAGTTCAGTCCTTCACAAACGTTGACAGGTAAGAGTACGCGGTGAAGAAAGGTATTTTGGTTGTTAGAATGTGATAAGTTAGAAATTGTGTTGTTGTCATTCTCGTCTTGACAAACATTGGGATTTATGTGGCGAGTTTCGTTTATTTCATTGGGGTCTTGCATCTGTATATATTGTGATTTTCTCTTAAAATGTCCTTTTAAAACTGTGAGCGTTTGGTTTGTACGGTCAGTGTTCCTTGTTTGTGTGTTTGTGTCATTTAGTGTTTTGTACTTTCTACAGCTTCTCATAATGATCACGAGGAACCATATCCCAGTTTGTCTGATTATCATGATTATGAACCTAATTTGGAATTTGATGATACAGAACTGCAGCAGGCTACAGTTACTAGTGGTAAGAGCAGCATGTGTGATATCAGTTTGTAATGTAATGTTCGCCCTTTGTAGGAATTGCATGATCATGTTGACAACAGATTTGACATGTCAGTGACTTTATAAATAATAGAGGGGTGTTGCGCTGTTAAAAAAGCATTGGCTTGATGAACATGCACAGAGTATGTAACCATATCAATAAAAGAAAGTTTGGTGAATGATGATGGAAGAGATTGAGATATGTGGAACATTGTTTTTGAATGTGAGATTTAATACTGCAATAAATACTATTTTGTTACAAATAAAAAAAGAAAATACTTGTTTTCTTCTGTGTGTGACTGTTAATTGTTTCTTTTGTAACATTAGACTTAGAATTAAGCCTTTATAATTATATGCTGCATAACGAAAGTGAATGTGTGTTAGAAAACATTCTATGTTTTTAGTGAAACAAACTTTGAAGCCCGACTTCATATTAAAAATGTGTCTTTTTCTTTTGTTTTGGGATTTTTATTTATTTTTAAAATGGTTATGTTGCTTTGTTTGTTGCATGATTATTGATATTTTAAGTTTTGAAATATATCTTGCTGCAGTTTCTTTACTTAATTTTGGTGTGTTTATACAAGTTAATGATTATGTGTGAATATTTTTATTCGTACTACATAATTGTAATTATGTAGCTCTTCTGATTTCTTGATACGTTATTTCAGACTTCAATTCACAAACACTATTTAACTTGATGTGAATTCTTTCTTTTTAATGTAGATCTAGAAGAAAAAATAGACGTGAGTGGTATTGATTATTTGGAATCACCTGTATCAGATGGTACAATTGAAGAAAATTTTGAAGAAGAATTAGTAAATGCTCCTGTAATTCCTGCTGGTGTAGACAGTCTGTCATATCATTTTCAAGATAATGATGAAGATGAAGATGATTTTCAAGATGTGGCAAAATATGGTATAGTTGAAGTTGTAGGTGATGACACCTATGGTCGAAAAGTGATAGTTGTATCTGCTTGCAAGTTACCAAGTAACAAGGAGCTGGATCATGCACGCTTTCTTAGGTAATGAATTTTTATTTGTGCTCTTACAATTTCATTTTTTTAAATTTAATTGGAACGCTTTGTTCCAAGAGAATTAACAATTTTTAAGACCCTGAATTTCTTGGTAAAAGCTCACGAGACAGTATGAATTGGAATAAGCAAGATTCTAATTGTAAGGGGTTGCTTGCAACTGGTTAGTTTGAAATCTCTTCTGTGATGTCGAAGAGAGTGATTTTCTTTGTTTTTGATCTGATATGGTGGCAAACCCAAATATTTTGAATAATTTTAAAAATGTCGGTAGAGATGATATCTTGCTTTATTATGATGAAAGAAACAATTCATTGAACTGGCAGACCCTTTTAGAACAGTCTTGATTTTAGGGCTGAAATGTAGTATACGGTACAACCTAGGGAAATCATTTAAACCGGCACTTCGCGCCTTTCCGGCATTAACTAGGCAGTTAGAATTCTGGGGGCTTTCTTGAAAGGTGATGTCTTATAAAAGTGAATTGGTAATTATGCGTTGGATAGACTCAAGGATGTTTATAGTGAACGCGAGGGCTGAAGGCCCGAGCCTTGCCGTTACTTGGATCTGGACGAGCGAAGCAAGAACACTTGCCTTTGAAAGTAAATTGGCGTTACAATGCAGCGTGGACAAAGCATGTGAAGGGCGAGCCATGAAAATAGCCTATCCGTAAGTTTTATTCATTTCTATTCGAGCACATGCAGTAATTAAGGCTTACGCCCAGCCGCCACATTTCTCTAAGAGTGTACAGTATACTAAATTTTAACCGATTTTAGTATTGTTATTGCTGTCTCTGTATGTGTGTAAACATCAATTTTTAAACACTGTACCGTCATTGTCATTTTATTTCATATCTTATTTTTACTGATATATGTATTGAAAAGATACAAATTCAAATAATTACAAGTTTGAATTATGGTAAGTGACATTTCACTTTTTGACAGAGAAATGCAGTGTGAAACTGTGGTTGGGAGTGGGGGGTCACAATGGAAGGACGAGCCAAAATATATAAGTGAATTATCTCTGCTTTTTGAAGGTAAATTTTCCAAGCTGGTAGGCCATGGTTCAGTTGGCATTGAAGGGCCAAAGGATTCATCCACGTCTGCAGTGAACATCCTCAGTGGCGACAGGGTCGTGGGCGCAGTGTGTGATACAGCGGCTGGCTGGCGACGTTTGGCCCTTCAATACCAACTGGACCACGGCCTACCAGTCTGGAAAATTTATCTTCTATTTACTCCGGCCATGAAAGCCTGCGATGCTATATACCACTGCTTTTCTTTGTCTGTTCTTAAAATGCTTTGGAATATAGTGAGAGCTACTTTGTCTTCATAACTAATCTCAACGTCATCCAAAATATCAAAACGGCTGATTGAGTGAATGCATCATGAATATTTTGAATGGAGCATGAGAGGTGTCTGTCGCCAAAATGAGTGGTAAAGAAACGTTAGCACCTGTAATATCTATAATAAAATATATGTTTGTGAATGTGAATGAACGTTAAAATGAACGTTTCCTGAGAAGTTAATATATTCTCAACACTTCCAATTAATTTTTGAGACTGAAAACAGTTGGGGAATGATGTAAGAGACTGAATTTTTCTGAACACTTGTGTTGAATATGCATTGGAGTAATATATGATTTTTAAATTTAATGAACAATGAAAGAATATTTATGTTTGAGGCAATGTCAGGCAAGTATATTTGACCTTTTTATTTTAAAATTTAATCAGAAATTTAATATCCATGAAATGAGGCTTTGCGTAGGATTATGACTACCCTGGGAATTTTTAGTATTTTTTTGTTCTTGCCTGTTATTTTATTAAAAATTACACAAATGGTCATTTATATAATGTATTCACTACTTGCCAGTAAGCATTAAAAAAAAATTAAAGAAAATAAGTGAAATACACTATCAGCATGTCTTGCTGTACCGCAGTAACTTGGGATTTATTTCATGGTGTATGGATAATCTAATGACATCTAAATTAAGAAAATTGCATCCATCAGATTTTTCTCACACTACGCAGAGCTGAATGTTTGGGTATTTGCCAAGAAAATGCTGGGAAGATCCAGCAATTTCATGAATTAAATATGTACGAGGTTGAACCTCTTTTAAGGGGAAATGGAATAAATGGTAAAACATATTGTGAACATCTGTTTGTTTTACCCCATAAGCAGAAAATATTTTCAAACCGAAGAAGGAAGTGGAACACACTAATAAGTCTTCACAATCGAACTGCAGAATTAAACTAATATAGAGACCAACATTCTTTCACTTCCTTTAATTTGACCTTTTCACCACTGTAAATAAAGTTGTAGCTTGATTCTTTAAACACAAATACAGTAGCAATCTCCCTTACAAAATGAGCTGTAATAACAAAAGAAGCTTCAAAATTACCTATCTAACTGTCTGGGAAAGCATTAGAAGTGCTGTAATATCATTTTTCTCTCAGGAGGGGTGAGGGTGCTAATAATGACTCAGACATTCGCCTTGCGTAGCTGGAATGTGGGTTTGATCCCCAGGAAACCATGTGGTGGCAAGGTCTTGGCAGATTTTCTTGGGGTTCTAAGGTTTCCTCTGTGGGTTGAAACTAAATTGAAGCCATGGATTTTTAAGGGCAAAAAAGTCTTTCTTTCAAAGGGGATGTAAAGCCTATTGTCCCATGCTGTTGGTTTACTGCATGTAAAAGATTCTCAAGCCTAAGTGAAGTCGCTGAGAAAATTCAAATCGCCTGTTTCATCGCCTGAGTGATACCTCCTTTCTCTGCTAGATGATGCAAGGAGAGTAGCAGAATTTGTGTAGTCAGGTGGAAAAGCAGACCTCATGGCTTGAACCTTGCAACGGAAAATATGGCATCATTGAATGAATTGAATTGAATTACCACTTCCTAAGCCCCTATAGATAAATAATCCTCACCCTCACAAGCCACAAAAAAAAAAAAAAAAAAAAAAATTCAAGTGAACACTGTTGAGGAAACAGTCGAAGAGGAGACGGTGCTGCCAAGAGAACAAAAGAGAAAATTTGTTCATATTTTCATCTTTATCCATTTCCATTTCTGCTTTTCCTCTTTCTCTTCACTTCTGTTTCTCTCTACTGTTTGTAAAAGTTTTGTCAGAAAATCTTTTGTCCATAGAGTTGCCTACTCTAGGTGTCTATGTTTCTTAAGTCTCCTCCATAGGCATATTGTCTGTTATAAAACAAGAAAAAGAAAATTAACTGTTTCTAAATAAAAGAATAAAATTGAATTTTTTAATGTTATTTGATAACTCTTCCATTATTTGAAACTGGAAGCAAGAGATGGAAATTAACATGAATATTGTAGGAACTTGAAAGAGAACACTTGATCAGCAACAATCTAAAACTTTAATACTCCACCAAGACTACAATTACTAAAAAAATTTTCCAGGACAATAGTTGTCAAATTTGGGAAATGTACAACCCCTGAGAATGCTGCTTAAATATTAATGGTATTGCTCAACTCAAAAGCTGTCAGTAGGAGATGGATATTAATCAGTAAAAGTGATGACAGGAGAACAACATTGAGTTTATGTTAGAGCAGCTCCACACATTCAGTGTTTGAATAGCTCTGAGCAGATAGCTACTAGTCGCCCAATCCCACACAGCTGATATGTTCGGTAAAAGTGCTTCCTTTGATGTATCCAAATGACTGACACGCATTTGGTAGGTAGTATAATTTTCATTACTTGGCAAATAGTAAGCAATTCATCCACACTTCTTGTGATTCAGTGAGCAGTTGCTCTCCACTCTCCGTATAACGAATGTGCGAATCCGCCTTTAATTTCATAAATACTTATGTCTTGATCTAGGGTTTTGAAATTTGATTAATGTTGATTAATCATTGTGAAGAGAGGGAAAACAGTGTGGAAAAGGCATCAAGTGAAATCATTCAAAACCAGTCTTATTCTCCCTTTTCTGCCTATGGAAATCAAAATATTTATGAAATTATAGACTAGTTATATGTCTTTACATATCAATTAAATTTTTTAAATGTTAACTTATTTTAATTGTATTATTAAAGGAAGAACTTTAACAAATGAATTTGAAAGATGGTGTTTTTACCCTTAGGGAAATAATATAAGTTCTGTTTTGAAATGAGCCGTGCAGACCTCTGCTAATCAATGACTTTTTAGGAAATGCCTTGTGCAATGCAAGGCAGTGTGCATTCATATTCTGTATATTGAGGTACTGTTAATGTATTCAACAACTTCAATGATTTCTTGCAGGTACCTGATGTTTACTCTAGACAAATATGTGGAACAAGACTACAGTTTGGTGTACTTTCATTATGGCCTGACAAGCAAAAACAAACCGCCTCTTTCGTGGCTGTGGCAGGCATACCGAGCTTTTGACCGTAAATACAAGAAGAATGTGAAGGCTCTGTACCTAGTCCACCCAACAAATTTTATCAGAGTGATATGGCAGATTTTTAGAGCTGCAATTAGGTCAGTATGAAAACAGATTAATTGTTCCATTTAATTTTAGGAGAAGAAATGAGCAGGGAATCGCAATAATACTCATCCTTTGGGACTATGCAACTTCTGAAAAGGGAATTTTACTATTAACTGATGCTTTGTTATTCTTACATGAGACAATCAAGTGATCTTTCAATTATGTAACTGCATTCAAGTGGACCAGAACAAAACTACAATTCAATCAATGTTTCTGCAGATGTTTTAAGCAAATTAAGTCAATGCCCAATTTGCCTGATGTGTTGGATGAACAAATACATGTGTTTCAAAATTAATATTGTTTTATAAGTCTTGTTGCAATTAGCGGAGTTCATAACTCTAAGATGGTTGATAGCAATCTTTTTGAATTACAGTGCAAAGTTTGGCCGTAAAGTGATGTATGTGAACTATTTGCATGAACTGAGACAACACCTGAATTTAGACCAGCTCAGTATTCCAGAGGAAGTGCTGAAGTAAGTTTTTTTAATCATTTCAGCATGACATGCTCTTAGTATTCATGTCCTCTTATTCATAAAATTTTAACATGAGACATTTGTGCCTTTCAATGTTTTTCAGACATGATGAAAGATTAATGACCAAAAATAAGACTGCTGTCCTCCAGCAAACAGGTGTACCTCAGTCATCACCCTATCTGTCATCACCCTCTCTGTCATCGAAATCACAGGCTCCCCTGAAGACTCAGCAGTTTGGGGTATCTTTACAATTTATAAAGGATCACAATTGTGGAGAAGTGATTCCTCCGGTGGTGCGACAGTGTGTGGAATTTCTTAGTCAGCCTGATGGTATTTTATAATGTTGTTTAGTAATATTTACATTAGATTAGCCCTGTCCAGCCCCTTCATTGAGCCATGATCTGCCTATGTCTCAAGTAGCATTAAATCAGTTGAGTCGTCTGAGAAGAGTTAGCTGTCAAACATCATTCATTCATTTTTTCTTTCTTGCATACTACTTGTATAGTATGAAAAAAGTAATGTAAATCTACAACATAAAATGGCAATTTGTTCACTGAAAAACTTGCTGCATGGCACTGATTCCAAGAAAGTGGATAAATCTTGCCCCTACACATAGTAAATTACTTACTCTAACATGTGTTGTCAGAATCCATTTTGTGGATACCCAAAAATTAGTTCTCTGCAAAATTGTCTTCCAGCCTTTCTGAATTTATTAAATTTGTAACTACTTTATACTCTTTAGTCACAATAAAATTGCAAAATGTCTAATTCTCTAGAAAATTGTCTTAAAAAAGACTTAAATCTTGATGCCTGAGCTGTCACTACTTTCTTGTTTTTTAAAATAGTCATTATCATGATTTTTGCCAGCATTCTCTTCATCTGCACATGATTAATTGACTTGAATAAATAACTGTCTTTTTGGTCCTCCTCTCAAACTGCATCTCCCTCTGGCATTTTAGGTCCCTCTGAAATATTTGTGCCTGTAATTTGTGTTCTAAGTCTTTCATCTGACACTACCCAAGAATGTTCCCTTCTGTCTGTCCAGATTAATATCCTGTCCTCTTGTTTGTGACCTTCGATTTTTTTAACAGTTCTCTCGCATTCTTTGTCAGAATGTAAGCCTACTGGAAATTCACATTGTTTAATGTTTGTATGATCGAGTTGTGAACTGAGAACTAATACATCTATTTCTCTGTTTTGCTGTTAACGTGAGAAATAGAAGCGAGTTTACAAGTTTGGGAAGATTTTGCAAAGATAATATTCTTTAATTATCCCTTTCTGTAATTGAATGAACAAAGTGTGATAAAAAATACAGTGAATAATTTTATTACAAACAGAGTTATAATCTTTCATAAGAATTTGAAAGTACTGTCCTTGGCTAGAAATGCACTGCATAGTCATGCCCAACATTGAATCCTGGAAGAATTTCTGGAGGGGCTTTCAGCTGCTCTATCATGTCTCTCTCAATGTTGGGGATGGTCTCAAAATGTTCTCCTCTTACCAATTTTTTTTTTTTTCTGGAAGAGCCACAAGTCACATAGTGCCAAATCTGGTGAGTAATGCGGATGTTGACAGAAATTAACACTTTTCTGGCAAATAACTGGCCACAAGTAATGTGTGGAATTGTTGTGATGAAAGGAGCTGTTAGCTCATTTTTCTCATCTCATTTGCAAATTATCTGATAAAATGCTTTGCATGGACCCATATGAGATTTTTAAGTTCTTCAATAAGCTCTCAAGTAATCATTCATCTGTTTGAACAAACAAGTTTAGTCATGTTTTGCAAATTTTCATCTATTTTTGGGATTAAAGGACAAGCCGACTATTTTTTGTCTTCTACAGACCAATTTCCTTGCCTTGCAGAGTTCCACCTCTGGAAGCTAACTGACAAGTCAGAACATGTTCAAAATTGACACTGACCATCTCAAGGAATTAATCCATTGTACATACTCAGGCAAATGTAGCTTCATCAGTTGCTGCTATAAAACTTCATTCATTATACTTTTTTATCACACCCTGTAGAATGTGTACTTCTATCAATGTAGATTTTTTTAATTTCCATGTCTTATAATATGCACATTCGCATTCACCGGGCATTGAACCGAAAGTCTTTGCGGCCTCTTCAATCAGAGAATCGTGGAACAAAAGCAGCAATTTTATTTATTTTCAAGTCCCCTGGTTATTGACATTTTCATGAAACTATCCTAAATGATTATGTTGAAAGTGTTCCCATTAAAAATAATTTGGCATCAGAGATATGATGTTCACTTACAAAAGTTTCATATTTACAGAATATCAGGCTCCGATAGAACTGTGTAGACAGTAGACAGTGCAGCTGTTCAACATTTAACAACCTAATTCCTTGACTGTATTTACCTACCTACCTATCGTGCCTGCATTAACTATGTTTAAATTGTTGTTACAAATGTGATGTGAGGAGATTTTGCAAGATGCAGTGTTCCTTTCGCCAATAATATTGCTCCCAAGTGCATCTTCCCCTAGTTTCTTGCTACTTTTTTGTATTTGTTTTGTAATGGTATCATATGTTGTTATTGTTGTTGGTTTTTTTTCAATGAAAATTGTTTGTTCCCAGCCTTGGAAACAGAAGGATTATTTCGGAGGTCAACCAGCGTCATTCTTGTCAATGAAACGCGATCTAGATTCAACCAAGGTCTCCCTGTTGATTTTAATGGAGATGTGCATTTGGCAGCAGTAATTCTTAAAAATTTTCTTCGTGATCTTGAAGAACCTTTGATGACTTTTGAATTGTATGACGAAATTACACAATTTCAGAGTGAGTATCTATTATTTTTCAAAATTATGCAAATTGAAAAGTTTGTACTTCATGTTCGATGATAAGAAATGTTAGAGAATTTTCCTTTTTGGGAATGTATGAAAATATTGTGATAATGAGATAATGTATTTCCAATATTTGTGGAAGTGTAGTTGCGAGGCACAGTTTGCCCAGATGACATCAATGTTGAGGTATTACCAACCGAAAAATTTAATTTATCCACAGAAAACCAGCCATGTTCTACATTTGTGCAAAGTAACCTTGAGTAAAATTTCCTCTTACTTTTTAATAACTCCATTAATACAAAAAATATGTTATATTTACTGATTCATTTTATATTTTGGATTATGTCAACAAAACATTGAAACATCTGAATTATTAAACCGTATTTATGAAATATATTTTAATGAATCTGAATTGGGGAAAAAATATTATTATTGCTTGGATACCAGCACATAAAGATATGTTTGGTAATGATATTGCTAATCTCGGAGCTGAGAGAGCCACAACAAAAGTACACCAAAACCATTCGTCCGAAAGAGAGTTAAAGATATTTGGAAATACATAAAGAAAAATTAAATATACGATTGAATTGAATTCAATTGGCCTTATTTTACGTGGCGAGACTTGGGCCATTAGGCCTGCTCTTCCATCTGACCACGCAAATTTCGCTACGCTCCTTTCATCAACTAGCAGAGAAAGGAGGTATTTCTTGGGCGGGAAACAGGCGATTTTGAATTTAGCTTAGAGGCGTCATTTAGGCTTCAGGATCTTTTACATGCAAGTAAATCTACTAACATGGGGCAGCCGAAGGAAGGCGTATTTCCCCTCTGAAGGAAGGCGTACGAAGAATTTTTTCGTCCTTAAAAATCCACGGCTTCGATCGGGCTTGAACCCGCGAACTTGGGTACAACAGTCCTGTACTCTAACCGTTACACCATCGCTGCCGCTACAATGGCAATGAATTATGGCTAAATGAAAAATCCAACAAAACTCATAAAAATATTACTAATTTTTGCGGACTTGTAACAAATACCTCAATGAATCACCAAGAACAACAAGAATTTGGTCAAATCATTCTAAATTCTCTCATAAATTTCTAATTGAAAAAGTTTCACAACCTACTTGTACTACCTGCCACACTTTTCTAGCAATAAAACACATCCTTTTGCCCTATTCACAGTGAAGAAAAGAAAGAAATAAGTGTCTAGGAAATGAAAATTTCAATGCAATTTTAACTTCACCAAGATACCAAGAAAAAATTATATGCTTTTGCAAAGCTATTGATATTTTACTGAATACTAGCAGGGAGTAAAATTTACCCATGGCTAGTATTCTAGGCTTCATTCTGTGTAATCAAAATGTTCAAATTAAAACTGGTGATTTTGAAGATAATTTTTTTATTTAATTTTGATGATTTTTCTAATTGTTGCTATCAACATGGCAATGAGTTCATATCGCTTAATTGAAATAAATGTCATTATAAATTATCTGACTTCTATTAAATTTAATTAGTAATTAAAGACACAAAAAAACAAATTTTGTCAGTTAAGCAGTAAAAAGAAGGCATTTTATTATATGTGCTATGTACTTGATTGATACAAGAGGCCAAAAGCCCAAACGTAACAGTAATAAAATTAAAAATAATTATAAAAATACAGTAATTGTATAGGACAATCTTTTAATATCAGAGAAGAAATTGACACACTTGCCAGCTGCAAGTCAAAGTTGGATGGGAAGGTGGGCTGGAACATGACAGGAATGTAAATAAAATTTCTTCCATTTTATGCCATTGCTAGAATTTATTTATTTTGTCAAGTTGATTGGATAATTATGATGAATAAATACTTGTTCAATGCCAGGTTACTTCATCTAGTTGAAGTCAACATTCCACACATTGTTATTATCAATGTCTACGAAAAGAATTAAAATTCTGGTCTCAAAAATTAGTTATTTAGAACTGCTTATAAAGCACATATCATTAAAGACTAGTTAAACTGTCTATCCCATTATATTCATGTATTTGTAATAGATTTGGAAACTTAAATTTGAAATCAAGCAACTAAAAAGGTTATGATGTTCATTTTCAATACATGTTATGTTGAACATTGTAGAAATGATATTGTATACTCAAGACATATTAGTACAGGTTTGGTGAGAGCATTATATAAAGGTATGTGTTTTTCTGTTCAAGAAATCTGGATTGTGTCATTTTGATAAAATTTAACATTTGCAAACTTTTTTATTAACCTTTGTGGGTAGTAACCCATGTGACCACTGTTCAGTGTAACTGTTGTAATCCAGTCTTTATTCGCTGTTTACAGTGACAGTTGATAAATTTTTGGTATGGTCATTTCAGTACCTTTCTTAGAAGGCCCCAGCTATTGAATTGTAGCAAAATATGACTCAAGTGATAACTGCTGCACTAGCAATATGCACCAGAAACTGCTTGGATTAAAAAAGTAATCCACACAACCACTCTCAGTTCAATTTCTGACCTAAGCTGACTTCATGAATATCATTGCAATCGATGCTCTGAATATTTATGCAAAGAACAACCATGGAGAAATATTGACTACAAGGGGGTATCTAAAGGATCTTGCTTTGTCCTTTATGAAACCAAAAATGAAAAGGAAGCTCGAGGAAAAAATAAGGGCTGACAGCAGTATGATCTCATGGAAGACTTCTACTGGGAATCCGAGACAGGACCGAGGGTTCAGCAGAGTCACCAAATGGCAAAGCGGAAATTAAATTAATTATGCAAATTAATTATGTTAACAGTTTCATAAACACAACTCTCTTCATGATCATCGCTTAACTTGTTCTGTTCCCTCTTACTGCTCAGCTCTGTCAGGAAAGTTATAATCCCTGCCTTTCGATTGTTGTCTGATATGTCTGATAGCATCCCAATTTCGTGCCTTCATGATAGTTTTTGTGTATCCCCTTCATTTGTCATATTACCTTGTTCTTTTCGATTGGCTAATTACTTGTTTACCTATCACTGTACTTACACCCGGTCTCGTATTATATTTATTTATATATTGTCATCCATTGAAATTCCTCGTGTGTCCACAACTAAAATTAACACTTCATCTTCTGTCATTTTATCACATTAGTCACTTCCTACTATCCTTATTTATTTATATTTTAATTTGTGGCCAACATTGGCCACCATTATTGCTCACCTATGTGTTCCTTATAACTTTTTGTGATGATTTTTTTTTTTTTTAATATATTGCCCAAGATAATCCATCACCATACCTACTATGTCCCTCATGGGGTCACATATTAACCTTTACACTAGACACAGACACATGTGCAGGCTCCTCAGACTATGGTCGGCAGACTCGCAAGGCCTTCCACAACAACACGCATACATGAAAGATAAGGGACAACCTGGGTCTTGAACCCATGACCCTTCTGATGGTGGTTCTGAGTTGACACGTGCTCTAGCCACCTCGGCCATCCAGGCCAGCAAAAACATGAAAAACTTGAAAACATGAAATTTTTTTGGAAGTATAGTAAAACATCTCTGAAGAATTCTCCTCTAATAGAGGAGACCTCACCTCTAATTTGCCTCTATTAAACCACCACCTATCTCAACTATGGACGGAGCAGTAGAATAAGGAGTTATCCCATATTTTTCGTGAAATTCAAATATAGCATTAAACATAACTTCAAATATTATTATTTTAGTGTAATGTGTTATTTAAATCCAGTATGGATTGTTATTCAAGTGAACTGTGTTTAAGTTAAAAACTGAAATGAGTTTTGTTTTGTAAGTTCTAGTAACGCCCTCAATTTCTCAGAATTAGGTCATTGTGGGATAGCCTCTTGTTCTACTGAACCTTTCATTTGATTTTTCTTGGAATAGACACGTACTATATTGTTTGTAAATGGTACCCCTGTTAGCAGATCACCTGTTGTCCTGACCACCAACCAATCCTGTAATAGCAATTTACTTAATTTACCCCCTTTTAAGATAATACTATCAGGAAAAGTGTATAAATACAGTACAATGAATCTTTAGTAACTAAAAGTGAAAATTGGCAACGTAGTAAAATGGCATTCACACAGCTTTCCGTGTGCCTAGACTTCAGTTCTCTAGGAAATCATTCTGAGCAATATTCTGAAAATCATTTAAAAGTATATCATGGCTCGTGGCATAGTATGTTGCTATACAGAGAGCTATTTACTATAGTATCAAAATCTAAACATCAGCAGAAATACTGCAAACCAATGAGAATTTCCTAACATACATGTATTTTAGGCAGCAGGATTTTTTGTTTGGTAAAAGGATAGTAGCACGACACATTGTGAATATGACTTGCATGCAATCTCTTGCCAAAAACCCATCCCTTTCACCTTTCTTAGTTTCTTCACCCCTACCTTTATTTAAAAACCTAGCCCCTCACCTTTTGAACCTATTCCCCTCACCGTTTGAACCTATTCGCGTTTCTCCCAATCTCAGTACTGATTCCTTTCCCCTCTCATGCCCCAATTTCCTCACCTGTCACCTGTCATTACTGGAACACATTACAACTTTCAACCATGCACTCAGGATAAAAATGGAGAAAAAGTATAGTAACTACTATCAGATGCAGCACAAAAACATCAATGTAGGTACCTGTAAAAGAACCATTTACTACACCATAATCTTCAACATAATAATCTCTTTCAAATAAAACTGAATTTATTGAGGCTGCTCTAAAGAGTGATTTGCATCAAATAGGTATTCTTTAATTTACAGAACATTGGTTATCTCTTAATGCATTTTCCAAATTCCCAATTTTTATCTTGCAAGCTATTATTGTAGAAAAAGTGTTAAGCATTGGTGGGTTGTATTTATGTTAGAAACAATACAGATTGTATATCCTTGACAGAATTAAATGTGTATTCTGTTGAAAATTTATTTCAAATATGTAATGCTCTTATTCCTACAAAACTACTTCTAGGAATGAAATTTGCAACAAAAGAAGTAAGGTACAGTGACTTTGATGCACGAATTCTTGCAATCATAAGAAATGCAAACACCAACACATTAAATAATACATATATGTGTACATTGTTTTCTAAAAGTAAAATAAAATTATTCATAGACCACTTGCTGCAGGAATCATGGGATACAGTTCATAAAAGTTTTGATGCAAATTACAAATGTAATAATTTTTTTCCGATGCTTTCATTTCAATTTAATAGGCGATTTCCTCATTTAAAAAAATTCTCACAAATGCTTAAATGACATGGAAGGTTAGAACATCTTTTAAAACCACTTGAATTCGTTATTTCGTTTCAAAAAACCATACTGTATGTCATGATTTCCACCTCTACTTTCAGATTTCCAAATCATTATTAAGAAAGGTAGTAAGGCTGGCTAAAATCATGAAATACAGGATATAATTTTTTGAAATTCAAATAACATAACAAAAGCAGTGTAGATTATTGTAAAAAACATAGCCACATCAACTAGAAACTTTCCACAGAATGTTGTTTTAAAAGACATTGGTAGAGAAGTGAGCAGCCACAGTGGCCTGTCTCTTCAACCAATATTTTTGGGATTGTGTTTGATCTCATGAAGGATCTAAGGCCACAAAATTCAACAACATATTCTTTGATATAATTGTTTCTGAAACTTATTTCAATGAAATTTTCATAATAATGAGGTAACGACAAAATGTTTTCCACCAGTTCAAATGAATGGATGGATTGCTTGTTAAAAGCTTGTGCACCTGTCATTATACTGTCGTTAAATCAAACTAGAAATGATACTATAAATTAGAAATAACAACAGAATTCAACCGCTAAAAAGATAAGTTAACAGCTCACTTTTGTACTTATTTTTTAACTGGGAATCTAAAGATCTTTTTAGAAATCTAGATTGAAGCACCGGAACATTTCCACATATTTTCAAAACAGCTAAGATTAAGCCGCTCTTCAAAAAAATCAACAAAAATTACATTCAGAATTATAACCCAATTTAACTTCTTCAGTTTTCTCAAAATTAATGACTTTTGAAAATTGAACTTTTGACTAATGAAAATCATGACTTTTCTATGTTTGAATGAAAAACCTTTTACAGTAAATATGAAGCATTTTCAGATTACCAACATGGATTTAGAAAATCAAAATCTATGGGAACAGCCATATTTTCTTTTCTTAATGTCATTGCTGCATCAATAGATCAAAATAAAGCACCTATTGGAATATTTTTAGATCTCGTAAAAGCATTTGATGCCAGTAATGAAAATATTTTATTTTTCGAAATTACCTTTTTATGGAATTTGTATTATTGCTCTAGATTGGATAGGTTCTTATCGTAATGCTCTGAGAGAGTGGAGATGTCATATTGAAATGAAGGGACTGAATTTAATACAATATTAAGTTCATTATGCTATGTGTTCAGAATTCTATCAAATTCAGGCAGCCTTCACGGCATAATATTCTGGGGAAACACATTTTACAGCTTCATGCCTTTTAGGTTGCAGAAAAGAATTGAATAAGCAAATCCCACCCTCATGATTCTTATAAGCCTCATTTATTAAGTTAGGAATTCTACCATTGCCTTGCTTCTTGATTTATGAATCAGTAATTTTTGTAAAAAAAAATGACTTACTGAAGAGTGGAAACATATTTTCAACCAATACAGATGTCTAACTGTTAACACACGACATAGTAATTGTATTAATTAGGTGTCAGTATCAACAGTTCACTACTTTGTATATTCACATATAGTACAAGTACATTATTTTACAAGTTGCTGCCAGAAGACATTAAATGATTAAAATTGATACACGAGTTAAACGCCATGTAAAATTTTTTCTGCTGCATAACTGTTTCTGTACAATTAGAGACTATACTGAGCATCAAAAAGGAAAATAATATTTGTTTTAAACAATAATATTTAAAGTGTTCTTACCACTTGGACTGTATAATTCTAAAACACTAAATATACCTGTAACAAGTATTGTACCTTACATTATGGGTCTACGACCCACATCTTGATAAGGTTTTCATCCATTTTCCCTAATCCTTTGAGAAAATGCTGAGATGGTCCTTTGTTTTGTCTCTGAACATAAATGTAGCTTCACCCTTTGAACATGTTTTCTTGAGCTCCGGGATATGTAGATATTAAAATCATTTCTTTTTATTTTCTTGCTGCAGTAAGTTTAATTCCTTTATGTAGAACACTACTGATAATAGCCAATATATGTAGTTGAATTGCCTCTGCCTACAGTTTTTATTACAGCAGAGCAAATATTTTCATACTTTTTTTTCTCTCCAAAAATGCTTTATTAATAATTCAACTTAATATGTACAGTAAAACTTTTCTGAAAAACCACCCTTATTAAATGCCCACCCCCTCAATCGACGATTTTTCTTGGAATGGAGACCCATATATTGTATGCAATTTATAGCCCTGTGTTTGCAGGTCACCCTTCTTACCAACCAACAACCAGTTTCTGAATAGCAATTTTCTTGATTTACACCTTTTGAGAATTTGCAGTTGGGAAAATGAAAATTGGCACACGTATTTACTCATGTCCTATGCCTCGCCTTCATTCACGAGGAAACCAAAGGTCTTGGGGAAATCGAGAATCAAGTAACTGTGTCCTCCAGTATGGTGTCACAGTTACTCGCTCGATCAGTTTCATTACTTCTGATGAGACTGCGAATATGAAAATGACCAAATATTTTATTGTTTTCATTAGCAGAGCCCTTACCTTACCTTCCTAGAAGAATATCTTGGGCGGTACAATATCATTGTCAGACGTCATGGTTATTAACTTATAAATTTTTCTCCAGAATGATATTAACAGTAGTTTATTGAAGATTTTTTTTCTTCTTCTTCTTATTCTTCTTCTTCTTCTTCTTTTTTTTTATTCTATCTTGTGCCACTTGCACAGATTTACAGATTTAACAATACAATCTTGGGGATGCAAGAAATTGTTTTAGATATAAATATTTTTCATTTAGTAAGGTGTTTCAAATGACAATGGAAACTACGTTGAGGTGTGGGTGATTTCCAAAGCTTTCTTGTCAAAGTTTATTAAGCATTTTTAAATATTTGATTTCCCTCTTTTTTTAAACATTTCTCAGTGTTTTTTCCAAAAATTTTATTAAGAGAGGTAAATTACTACCTACATTCTATTTTTTTAATACAATTTTTAAATATGTTTTTATTTGTTGGTTGGAATAAATCTCATGTTTTTAAAGTTATGTGATTACTAATTCTCAATGTTTTGTCATTTTACAGGTATAGCTAAAGAAGAGAGACCTCGTCAAGTTAAAATATTAATATTAGAAAAGCTTCCTGAAGACAATTACCAAATTTTAAAATATATTGTTCAATTTTTGTCAAGGGTATGTAATTTTTATATGATCTCTTTTTAAAAACAAAGAGCTGCCAAAACTACTTATCATAATTTAGATTCAGAATATGTTAACCATCAATAATAAATTAAGTTAGTTGCCAAACTACTTAAGAAAAATCACCTAGTGACCAGATATCAAATCTTCAAAATTTGACACCTTACGTTTTGTTTGAAACGTGAAGGTGCCTCCAGTAATTATTTTCAGTTTGTTTTTAAGATGTACCATCCCATTTTTTACTCTAATTGTAATTGTTAATATTGCAGGTTATGGACCGGAGTGATTTGAACAAGATGACATCGTCCAATTTAGCAGTTGTGTTTGGTCCAAATTTGGTTTGGTCACAAAGTGGACAACTGTCTTTGGCAGCTATTGGCCCTATCAATATGTTCACTGATTTTGTTCTTACAAATCAGGACCAGATATTCATCATATAGATCAGTGGTGTAAGCAGTATTAAGCTTACATTTGTGCTGGATCTCAGCAGAATTTCTTTCAGCACCATGTGCTGCTGTAGCTGTCAACCAAGCAAGATAAGCACAAAAATAAATTCAAGCAGTTCTAGAATTTTATGAGGAGAGAAATTTGCACAACTTTTATACATGTTTTAGAAAAAAATCAAACTAGACTTCATTATTTAGATATTTCAGTTTCGATTCATGAGTTACGTTTTTGTTTTCAATGAAAATGTCAACCAAATCAATTTAAAACACTTTATTTTATTGTATGTTTATTTTGTATTACTTTTAAACATTGGAAATTTTTCTTACTTTTCTGATACACAAGATACTTAAAAAGTTACTTGTTTAGTAAACATATTGAAATTAATTTTCATGCTACATGTGGACTAGAAGAAATTAACACAAAAGATTCCAAATGCATTTAATTTTTGGGGAGTAGCCCTTATTAAATTATTTAATAGTTATTGTGCATTTGTGTCCAGAACATGGCATTATTCTTCATGCATATGTTATATGGAATTTATTTTTTATTCCAAATTCCTTACATTAGTGTACCATGTGAGGCAATCCACTGAAAGCACATCATTCATTCAGGTATGTAAGAATGATATGCTAGAGTTTATTCAGAACTGTGTGGTACTTAAGTGAGGAATTTCAGAGACTACCTTGGAGAGGTATGTTGGTAATCTGTTTTTTCTGAGAGCAATTGGATTGTTGAATTTGTCTGTGTGAGTGTTAGAATAAAATATATGCCAAAGAACAAAGAATATAAATGCTACTTTGTGAAGTGAACCACAAATGCACCAACTGAAGATTTTTTCAAGTTACAGTTTAGTTTTAATTAACTAAATACTGTAGGTAAAAGGAACTTTAATAATGTTATATGCTACTCCTACACTGTAAATAATATTCTAGATAATAATATTTAACAAGTAATGAAATGAATATTTTTTTCTTTTTATTTGAAGAATGACATATCGTATAACGTCTTGATGTGTTCCTCACCATTTGTTGACAAGTAATTTTATTTAATACTTTTGCTATGTAATTAGTTTGTACTGTCGTAAATTTCTTTTCGTCTCTTCTGGTAGGGCAAAGGTGTGCTGGTCTCAAGGGTTCTAGTCAGTTCTGCTCTAAAACTCACTTGAACAAGTGTAATTGATAGTAAATTTGATTTTGCATGACACTCCTGGTCCCATTATAACTTCACAATTGCAGATACTGTATTATTAGTTAAAGTGATTAATTCACTTGCATAAAATGCATCAAAACAATTGCAGAATTGGGAAAAAACAATTGTAATTAGTAGATATACACCTTGCATATTTCCAGCTGATAGCTGAAACTGTGTGTAATTCATTTTCTAGTCACACCAATGATTCACTAAATTTGATGCCTGTAATGTATCCTACCTTGCAGTAATATCCAAGAGATCAGCCAGTCATTTCAATTTTTTGTCAATTGTGTTGATCTTGCAAAGTTCTTTACTACATTCCAGTCAATATCATGTGCATATGATGAATTGAACAGAATTGGAAGGCATTGAAAACTTTTGCACATCTTTTATTGCCACTTCAAATATTTGTTACTTAATTTTTATCATGACATTACTAGTATCCAAGAAATAGCTACCTTGCTAATCATCCAATCTTGCAAGGAAGTGCATCAATGAAATCCATTTTGAAACAGAACAATGAAAAGTTGTGCCAAAATAAAATATTAAGCATTTGTTACTATTATTAATTTTACTAACAATTTACAGTGTACAAAAGTATTTAAGTGGCATTGAAAAGTATGCAATTCAACTTTATTTTAAAGAATTGTTTTCATTTTTTTATTGTAGGAAACCTTATTCAAGGATGTATCGTTGTTTTGCCTTTCATCACCAGTAGGTTCCAAAAAATGAATATTATTGGAGAGAACCATTACATTGATGGAGGGCAATAGAAGAAACAAAATATGTTTTGTGACTCATACCTTTTTTCTCTTTAATTTGTTTCAGTAAAAAACATTTGCAGAGTTTCAGATTCTCTTGACTGTAATGTTTGCCACACTTAATATTTCATTCATATGAATTACCTTGTGTTATGTAGGAAATCAGTGGTCAGAAATTTCCCAGTGAAAAATCCTGTATCACTCGGTAGTTATTAGTTAGCATTCTCTGTGTATACATAAAATTTGTGTTGATTTGTTGTACTGGATCTGTATTTTAAACTTTCTTTTCCATTCCATGAGAGTTAATGGAGTAATGCATAATTTGATTTTCAGTTGTCAGTTGATGTGCAATTCGAGAATCACATTATGTGATAACTCATGTACTGTGTACATTCTTTCTATATTAGTGTGATGTATATGTGTGTGCAAGGTAAATTTATATAAATGTATACACACACATATATACTCTTAAACATATTTGTGTTATTTTGTTTTCTGTTTAAATTCTGTAAAAATATCAAATGGTTTAATATCGTTCCTGGCATTTCTTTTGAGTCATGGTATACCAAACACCCCATCTGAGACTGAATAGACAACTGTTTCAACTTACTACTAAAAATCCTTTAAAACATAGTAATATCTTAACTTTCTCTAAAGTGATTCAGATAGAAATTAAACTCTTTTAGTATCTTTATATAAAAAAACTAGCATTTGGGAAAATCATTGTTTCTGGTGAGTAATCAATTTGCACGGGTGTGCAAATTGATGATCTAATATGTTGTGGAAGTCCTAAGAATAATCAATAAGAATTGACATTGAATCAACTGACTAAACAAATCAGACACTTTCAAGGTATCATTGCCTACTGAAATATTTTTTTCTGGCATCTATTATTCAAATGATGAGAGGCAGTTAAAATACTGCAGTTGAAGGTACATGTGCATGATTTTATCTTTTTCTTTTATGTGTGTATAATTGTAGTATAGGGAAACTTAAGTAATGCAGTGGAAAATAGATTTCAAGATTTTAATGGAAATACACCTTTTGGAGTTCCCTGACACTGAAAAATTGGCATTCATCAAAACATCTGTCTGTATATTCATCCATCTGTGACAACACTAGTGCCTAAACTATTCCTAGAATTTTTTTCCAAAATGAATATTACCCAATTGATCTGGTCCAACTCAAAGCCCTGTGATTTTGGAAAGATTTCTGTAAGTTTTGAAGAAGAAGCTTCACACAAAAAGCACATGAAAAATTTTCTTAAAAAGGCTCCAAATTTTTCTTTAAATTTCTTGTAAGTATACAGTGAAATACACTTGGCATTAGATTTTTACTGTCACATCTGAATTTTTGAACTACATTATTCAAAATAGAGATTTTTCTTCACGTGAAATTTGTTCTGTCATGTCAAGTAAATTATTTGATTATCTCAGTCGTTTTTGTGAACTTTTGAGTGGCCATATTAAAAATGCAATTTTCTCAAAAATGTCTTCATATTGTTTCTTTGAATTTTCTGTATGGGTAGTGCTAAAAGCGCTGAATAACAGAGCAGACACTTCAATTTGGTGCATTCTTTTTATTTTTCAAAATTTACACAAATTAATTTTTTTAATACATCTTTCAAATTATTAATATTTTTGATAAGGCGGTTTTTTATACATTTTTGCATGCTTCAAAAGGATTCTTACAAAGTTTGTAGTCCAAAACTCAAAAGTTTTCTCTGAAAATATGTTTAAAAGTGCATTTACAAAAAAGCTCAAATGACATTTTCTTAAAAATGGTTTCCAATGTCACTCTTGTCATGTATTTAAAATCGTATTTCAGTTCTACAATTAAGGTACCAAAAAATCGAGAAAATGTGAAAAATATTCTTTTAAGATAGATAGAAACTGGGAAGAGGATGGGTGAGTTACTGACAAGCTAGACCAAACTATAGAGATTAGGAAAATAGCTAGTTAGAGAAAGTCTGCAGCATTCTATAGCACCACTAGGTTAAGGTTCAAATAAATTTACAAAACATATGATCTTTATGTGAAGTTTCCTACCTTTCCTTCCACTCTAGAATGAAACTCAAAAGTAGAATTTTGCGGATCTTGGGGAAGGGAGAGTGCTAAATTAATGAATTTTGTAGTTGCAGTGTTTGTTTGCAGTGAAACAGAGATAAGTTGATTGGTCTTTTTGAGTAAACCATTTAAACTTTACAGGTAGAGATCATTACTTTGTGCATGGTTGTACTTGTGCTGTAGAGCTTTTTCCCATTACCTGGCAAAACAGTCAACTGACAGTTGTCACTACTGCGCATTTCAATAACCTAAAACTCTTTTGTGCTTGTTCTTAGTAAACGAAAACCATTATTTAAAATGTATGTGAATGGATGCTAATAATTTCATACATTAAAAGAGTTTTGTAGAAACGGTGCGAGCTGGCACTGGCACAAGATTTGTAAGATTCTGAGTTGACTGTATGTGACAGATATGTAGGAATCATGGTGGATTGCATACCCCTTCTCTTTTGTGCTACCTTCCATCTACACCAGGGTGGTGACCCATGGGCCGCATTTGACCTGCAATGCCATTTATTGTAACCCCTGAAACGTTATTAGTCAAACGTGAAAGTCCCATGTATCCGTGTTGGCAAGAACATTGTGCAAGTGCCCTACCAGGGTCAACGCCCACTTAATTTAAAAATAGGTGAAGTTTAAATTTAAGGATTTTTTTTCTAGTGAATTCAGAAATTTAAAATCATCCCAATGTGATTCACTGTGATATACATGATGCCTCACCCTCCCCCATTTCAGAGCAGCCAGGTGAACTGCCAAGATCAACATGTGGGGTCATGTGAGAAATGCCCAAGTATTGAAAATATGGACTGCAACCATGTTAAAGATGTTAGTTGTTGCTATTGAGGCCTTGTAAGTCGGACACCTCTGATCTACACCAAACACATGGGAACAATTTGAGTCACGATTCTCTTATCCATGAAAATTGCTTTTTCTTTTTTTTTTCCTCCCAAATATTTGTAGTTTAATAGCAAGTAAACAAAGTACTTTTTTAAATAAATCCAATTTTGAAACTTAATTTCAGAATAAAAAATGAATAATTTGCTTGAAATTAAATATGCGCTCAATTACATGCATTGCAAAATGTTCCATTGGTAAATATTGTAACATTTTCTGAAAATACCTCCCCATAGAATACAGAATACTTTTCCATACTAAGATTTCTTAGGCTTCATAAGAATATGATCAGTATCAGTAGTATCAAAAATAAATACAAATTCTGCAGACTTCGAGAGACTTTTATCTTTGAACACAGTATGTCTTAAGACGAAATGTTCCTTTCACTACTATTCACTGGTCATTCCTAGACATCATTTCCTCTCTAGGGCACAATGATGTCTGGTGGCAGAAGGCTGCCTTAACAGCACACAGATCACTATTTACTTCTACAGCCACAATACATTGTCTTGTCCTTTGCCTTCTTTAAATGCTACTACGTCCAACCTTGACTCTGTAGGATAAAATCTACCTCTGACAGGATGAAATCAGTTACCAAGCCTAACATCATTATCTTTCAAAAGTGATCAGAATGAATATTGAATATGTCAGTATCAAAATGTTAAAATTTACATTTATTTGTTAATTTGGGAAAAATACTTTTTCCACTGTTTTTTGCTCTGCATTTACTTTCAAGAGTTCTAATTTTACAGTATGTTTGTACTTGCATAGTAACATTTCCTAGCAAGTAAAGTTTTATTTATGAAATAATAAATTTCTAATCATATCACACTGTCATACACACATTCATGCATGCAAACGTATTTACACCTGCGCACACACACTTTCTTAATCATTAGATTTTAGCTGGAGTTGCGGATAGGAGCAATTTCACACCTTATCAGCTTTGTTTTTATCAGTTACTTTGTTCTCTAGCCTAGTTATGAACACAAAGGGACTTTTTCAATCATGGCCCAATAGTTTGATGTAACTCATTTTACGAGGTTACTTCTACTCTGGTTTCCGTGTTTTAATCTTTCGCTTATCCCCTTTTTAAAGTAGTTAGATGGAGTTAACTCATATAATCTGACTCTGAACATTAATATCATTGGTCTACCAATATAAAAAAATCTTTCTTTCACAAGAATGACAATTACAGATTCTATAGGTATTTTTCATACTGAATTCAAATATCATTTCAGTTTCACTCCATCAGGCGGGAGTTTTGTGTGTTATTCATTTGAATTTTTTATAATTTTGAATAACATCAGTCACTAGCAATTCAACTCTAAATGGTATTCTACTCATTCTGACTACTAATTCAAGTTTATACATAGCTTTTACGAAATTTTTTCATTCCTCATAAAATAATATGCAATATATTTTTCAGGACTCACTAAATGGACTTGTGGCACATTTTTCTGGTCTGGGATATGAGATTCCTTTATTATTTATCAAACAGAAATAATAATCCCTTTGATGATTGTTTGGTTCCTGCCAAATTAAAGGAATTGCAAATGGCATATGATGAGTACCATTTTTCCATTAAGTCAACGGTCTTAACACCCAAAACATATATTTGGGACTAGCTCTTTCCAAAATCAATCAACTTCACAGCCAAAGAAATGTTGATAACACTTTTTCGCAAGTGGTGTTAAATTTCACCTCTAAGTATTTCAAGTCAGCTCACCACTAGTAGAGGAGAAAATATCTGCATGTTCTTGGGATGATGAAAATACAAAACATTGAAACACGGCTTAGAAAATACACATCTAAATGCAAATGAAGGAAATATATCACTAGTGATATTTGTGCTAACAAGCTTAAATTTCCTCAATGCTGTCGCATCACAATGCCTGACTAACTGGTCAGAGCATGTCAAAACACAAATGAATCTGCACAGTATTGCCTGTTGGTGTTTCAGCATGATAGTACATATAAATTCCTTAAATACAACTTGAATAAAATTGCTACATGTAAGGTAAAAGTTCCTATGACAGGTCAAAGAGATTGCTAAAATCAGATTTTAAAAAGTAGGTGTCATAAAACAACTGTGCCTGACACAAAATTTCTGAATACATATCTAAATTCAGTATGAAAAAGTGCACTAGATTCACTAAACAGATTTCTTGTGAAGAAATTCTTGTCAACTATGTATTTGAATATTTATTTTCTCGGCCCCCTTGAGTTTGATGTGCACTTTGTTTTGTTAACTGTTGTTTATTTTACTACTTTAAACTCTGCAGTCCATTTTTATCAGTTATGTTGATTGTTTTCTTTTAATCTAGAAGTATTCATTTTAAAACTACAATGTTTATTATTGTTTCAAATCTGCTACAATTCTTCATTCTTCTACCACATTAGACTCACCCTTTTCTATATTAAGAGTGAGGCTTTTAAGATGCATGAATTTTCTCTAGTGATGTAGTTTTAAATGTATTAGATGACATTTTCTTTGATCAAATCTCATTTCTGAAGTGTTTACAAACCTGTTTTATATTTTTAATTAGGTGATTGTTAACCTTACGATCTGACATCCTGATTAGCTACTAAGATTTAAGACTGCAGAATAAACTCGGATACTATTAACTTGCTTGGACCATGAAACTGTTTCAATATACATGCCTCACAGCCATTCTGTGGTACTGTTAGGTTGGTTGTATTATGGAATTTTTGTTTCCGAAGAAAGTGTATTTTTACACATCCCTTGATTGTATTGTAATTTGCCCAATTCAATTTCAAAATCAATTCCAGAATTAAGATTTTGCAACCTGAGTTTGTAAAGGTTAACCATGTACCGTTTTTTGTTGTCAATTGATATTTTTTTAACTTATGTGTCTTATTTGCCTGTAAATTGTGTTGCTCTAGTTCTCTTTATGGATATTATTGGTCCATTTCTATACAATTTTGTTCAGTATACATGTTGCTTGGTGAAAAAATAATATGTCATCAAAATTACCTTTGGGAGCAAGAACAGTCTTTATTATACCCTGACCTTGTGTCATGTTATTACTCCTTTCAATTCTCTCTTCCATTCATAATGTATTTCGCATGTTTGTCCATGCGTGTGTGTGTGCGTACCTGTGCGCGCGTCACAAAAATAGCAATTGACAACAAATTAGTCATTTTATATGGAAAAATTATTTACTGGTTTTTCATCATTTAGATGAACAAATGTTTCTAATATAAAATGCTTTATTTCTGCACAGCGGTTTAATGACGACCTGGAGGCCCAGAAGGGAGCAGGCAGCTGGAACAACTTGGCCCATGCCCTGTTGTTGTTTTTTTAATTCAGAAAAGACAATTTTCTCATTCAAATGAACTAATGAAATCTTACTCCCATATTAAATAATGCTTCTTTTACAGTATGTCTCGATGAGCAAAAAACAAATCTAATTACGGTCCATTTTGAAAAATCATTACACCAATACTTGCGACGAAGCTTTGGTTCATGGGGAGGGGGGGGGGAGCAGTTAATGAAGCGGAAACTTGCTGCCAGTCCACGCCAGTAATATACTCTCTGGTCCACGCGCCAAAAGGTCGCGTCCCAGTCCTGCGTCTTCGTTTCTAAAAACAAATGCCTACAGATTTCTTGGATGTATGCGAAATTTTGCTGATGAATTACCCATTACTGGTGGATTTCCCACAAACTAGAAAACAACGATAACTGCGATATATAATTCAACACAGGCGGCCGAGAAAATGGGCTTGCGAAGCACAACACAACTGTGCGTGACCACGAATCCCAAGGCCACAAAGACATTGGCAACAATGGGATTTACGATGCTTCCCCATCCTACATTGCGGACTGGACAATGTTAGACAAAATGAAGACGATTTGCGTGGTAGTCATCTTCGAGAAAGCTAGACGTTGACCACGACTGACGCCGAACTACTCTCCCCCCTCCCCTTCAAGAAATAGAGGGTTACAGACACATGGGGTAGTGTAGTGCTTGAAAGGGGACGAGAAAAATCGCGCAAGGTCAGTGTTTGTTAGATACAAAAACGGTACAGGGTTAACCTTTACAAACTCAACTTGCAAAATCTTAACTCTGGAAAGGATTCAGAAATCTAATTGGGCAAATTACAATACAATCAAGGGATGTGTAAAAATACACTTTCTTCAGAAACAAAAATTCCTTAAGACTCCATAATACAACCGACCTAACAGTACTACATTATTTGCTCCAGTTTCACCTGGTGTTGGTCAACGATATCACAAAACTACTGATCAAAGCAGCTGCCACTAGAATTCTCCTCCAGGTGGCTGAATTTGATCTAGCTAGTGTCAAAATCCTGACACCTTTGGGAATTTAACCCTAGGTCGTCTTAGCCAGGGTCACTGCTGTGAGCAATTGAATTGTTTATTTCAGAAACACGTCAAACGCCAAATTCATCTCAAGAAAACTCAGAAAAAGTCTTCAATTTATCCGATTTCAAAATATTATTTATTAAATCAGTTGATAAATGAATATTTTTCATAAAAAAAACCACTAAACGGTGTGTCTATCTTCTTGGAACAATAATCTGCCGAGTTTTAGATTTTAGCGTTCGACAGGTTTCTGAAATAAACTATTCAATTGCCTGAGCCTCACAAATCAGTTCAATTTATTTTGCTTTAACTGTCATTGTTTTGGTCTTTAAAAGGTTATAGGTTTTGTGGTGTGTAATCATTGGCATTTCTAATGAAATAATTATAAACGTTGTCATTGCCAATAATAGTATTTATTACAAGAGCAGCTTTTGATGGCTTAGCCATCATCAGTTGTCTAGTACAAGAAGAAAAAACAAAACATTAAAACGTGAATATTCTTTTGATTTTACAACAAAATTATAATAAAGGTTACTACTAATTTATAATTTTTTTGGAAAATATATTTAACATTCTAGAAACTGGAAGAAAGAAAAAAGTGAATGAAATAGAATTAGGACACGTAAAATTTGAAACAGAAAACATAGAAATGTAAGTTTCCTTTAGTATTAATGACTTCCCCCTCACTTTTTTCTTTCTTTCAGTATCTAGAATGTTAAATATATTTTCCAAAAAAATTGTAAATTATTAGTAACCTTTATTATAATTTTGTTGTAAAATCAAAAGAATATTCATGTTTTGTTTTTTCTTTTTGTACTAGACAACTGACGATGGCTAAGCCATCGAAAGCTGCTCTAGTAATAAATACTGTTGTAGGCTATGACGTCTATAATTATTTCTTTAAAAGGTTGCTTAAGTGTTGCATATACTATATTCTTATTGCTTTTGTGCAGCAGTATGTTTGATACCTTCTTGTTTTTGAGGTCCTTAAAAGGGGTTTCATCAGGACAGAATCTTCCCATTTTGTTTTGAGGACTTCCATGGCTTGGTATGCCCAATATTGTATACTGTATAGTTCAAGATCGATTGCTTTAATATCATCCAGTTCTGTATAATTTTCTGTGGGCTGTGTAATAATGCAAAATTGCATTTTTATATGAAACCAGGGTTATGCTGATAGTACATGATTTTGATTGAACTGATAGCTTACAATTTTCATATAAATTTTGAAGGTGACAAAACATCAAAGAGTGAGATCTGAACATCTTTTATTTTGAAATTTACTCCAATGAAAAAGTATGAATGAAAACGGACATTTCCTTTATCTTCAATTTTCCCTACAACTTTTCCAAAAATACAGAAGCCAAGCTACTGACTGCAATTTTTAAACAAGGTCTCTGAAGGTAGTTTTTTGTTAATAAAAGTTTAATTTTCAAAACTTATTTCTCATAGTGTTGAAAGGAAGTGAAAGACAGAAAAAAAGGAAAACTCTTTTCACATGCAAAATATTTTATTTATGTCCTCTGTACTTGAATATGGAATCTACAGGCAGGCATTGACTGGACCTCAGCTGTTACCATACTATTTATTCCAAGATTTGCTAAAGCTCCTCGAATTAATCCGCACGTGAAAGCTACATACTGAAACATCCAAAAATTTAGTGTTAATATCTGTTATGTTTGGGACAATTCATACATATTAATCATAGTACTAAAATACTGCTTACAATATGGTTACTCTTTCTTGAGATTGATTAAATTTAGTGAAATTCACATTTATTTTTGTTAAATGCAGAAAACTACTATTTTAATATCGTACAACAAATTACAAACTAAAACAGAACATCTCATTTTTTAATTGATACATACAATATTCAAGTGAAGGAGATAAAATACTTGAGAAATTACTTCATAATAGATTCTAAAATAGTGACATCAATTACTAAAAAAATTATTTACAGTGATTAATTGGTGAAAGACCAATGCTTTTTAAACAATTCTAATCAATCTTATATTTTCTATACATCTTGGGTGCATTAAAATTACAACAATTTATAATACATTAAATTATGTTATAAAATCTTAACTATAAGTAGATGCTATTATTAATATCATTATTATAATATTTACTGTGATTTCCAGCATGTCATATGTTTAAAAGTTAAATGTAATTTACAGTTTAATACATTTAAACAAATAGGTAATCATCTTCTGCAGATTTCTTTCTTGCTTTTTTATTATTAGACAATATTTTTGTTATCTTCAAAATTAGAGCAAATTTGAGAAATGTATGCATATATCAGTTATTTTTGCTAAAAGAATGTTACGTACTCTTGGTGCAACCTCCAAATATTGTCTGCTGTTTGATAATCTTGTCAGAAATCTAAATGCATTATCTTGAAGTACATAAACTCCTTGGTGATTTGTTCTCAAATTATCCACTGGCTTTTTATTTATTGAAGTCCAAAAGTCTGTGCAAATGAACTTCATAGTTTCTAGTTCATCTTTGAATCGTGGCCATTCTTTAGTTTGTCTGGAAAAAGAAAAGAAATAATTCACAAAATATTGCTCCAACTTGACATTCATTAGAAAAGAAACGTCCGAAAAGAAATCAACCTATATCACAAGTTTCACACACTTCTTTACGTTAAAATACAACCACTTCACTCATTAAATTACCAAATCCTTTAATACACCTAACTCCAAGAAAGTAAGTAAAAACTACGTCAACACAAATATTTTGTGGTTTTTAGTCCTATCCCATATCAACATTTCTAAAATTACTGGCAAAATCAAAAAGTTCAGATGACAAAATATTTCAATAGTGACAGATCCACAAACATCCATGCAAAGGAATTATGCAAAGAAATGCAATTGGAACATAAATCATTCTTCTCTCACAATTTTAAGTCTCCATAATTTTTTAAATGAATTTATGCCATTTCAAAATTTTTGATTGACAAAACACCGAATCAAAGCTTGGAAACTACTAACCTTTCAATAATGCGATAACCTGCAGAAAATCCAATGTATTCAAGCGTAGATAAATCACATGGCTGAGAACAAGGAGAAAATCCATTTAATCAATGCCAATGAAAACAAAAATTCACAATTAAAATAAAAACTTACCTTTTTATCTTTTTCTGTTGAAGATAAAACATAAGATACTAGCTCTGTATGAAGAAATTCAAATGACACCTCATCTGCCATACTGATGTTTATTTCAAGTGAATAATATATATTAACACCCTACCATTAAACATTCACATCCAATGTGTAACCACTTCTGTCCAAACAAAATGCAAGAGCTCTAAGAAAAATGCAATTATTCTGTTTAAACGCGAAAAGGTTAGGGAAATTTTTAAGAATAATTATTCATCGACATATTTGCCATTGTTGCGTCGGAATTCACTTCGGAGAACAATGAGAAATTTATTTCTGATAACAGTTTCCCATACATCATCAATGCAGTGTTCTCACGGCATCTATGAAGTCTATGAGGTATAGCAGATCTCAACTGTCAAACCCAGTTCGCACATGTAACGGCCATACTCTAGAGCACTCTGTCTCTAAACGAGCCTTCTCCAAACATATATACTTATGCGCTGAATGAAAAATTCATTCGTCTCGTGCTACAACTATTCCTTGTGGCTGGTGGTTTCAACTAGGGCCTGTCATATGAAGGTACATCTCCAGCTGTTCGAAATCAGGCGAGCAATATAGTAAGACTGCTTAAGGTGATAGCAGAAGTTGCCAATAAATTACCACGGTAGTATGCATCATTATGAGAAAAACAGAAAACAACTGAAGTTATTAGTAAATCATCTCAAAACAAAGCAGTGGAAATTGGAGATGCTAATAGTCAAGTCCGGGTTAAGCAGGAGTTAAATCAGTAAGGGTGAGTTGGTAGTTCTGGTAGTACTAAAAGTAGGAGTGACAGACAGAAAGCGCATGCTCTGTGTGGTTCTGACCACAACCGAGACAAATTTTCAAATAAGGCGCTAAATACAAATTAAATAGCCATATGAGAAGAATGGTGTAAAATCTATGTTAAAATGCCTACACCAGATTGAGTCTCCAATTTTACATTTGAAGCGTAAAAAAATTGGATAGTATTTTCGAATATCCGTGTTCGGTAACAAGTTCACTTTCAATTACTTCACAATTCAGGTATTCCGCATGTGATTATTGTTCACACAGAAAACCCTTTTTCATCGCGACAGTGTTTCGTCAATGTTTTGTGCATATGTTTGCTTTGCATATGATTTAATTTGATTGCTTCTCTCAATTTCATTATTTCGCTAGTATTAATTTTTGTTATTTAATTTGACAAAAATTGTGTTTTTAATAAGTTAATGTGTATGAAGAAATGACTTTTGTAATTGCTTGTTGATAGTGCCTTGAGTATACAGAGTGCCTTGGTATACAATTTTTCAACAGCAAAATATATTTTTCTTATTTCTTTGTCGACAAGGGAAATATCTGAAATGCATACGTGCTTTGTAACAAGTTAAGTACATTATATTTATACCTACATATGCTAATTCGATTCTCCCTTGGTTACTATTTTTCGTTCTATCTCGAACTACACTTGTGATTATTTTTGTGCTGCTCTTTTGCTGATTCGCCAACTGATAAGAAAATCTAGTTGTGATGTGAATACCATTTCAAATCGCTGACACGGATTTGAAAACAAAATTTTTGGAACCAATTATGCCACCAAAATCCTTGATTTTTGTTCATTATAGAAAATTATTTTCCCAGATTAACTTCAATATGCTCATGAGAAAACTATAGTACAGTGCTTTATTTATTACAAAAAAGTGAATTGAAATTTGAAAATGTCTCAAGAATGGAAGCGGGTGAGATACAATTTAATGTGATATTATAAGAAATATACGTAGCAAGGCAACTTTCTTTTATTTAATAAAATAATACGAAATACATATTCATAAACATGATATATCTACTTCGTTTATTACTATTTTAATTTTTATGCATAAAATGCTTATGACATTTGTCAGCCTCGGCCAGTCTCAGCTGATTCTGTGGACTGGCGGCATCGCAAGACAGCTTGTGGCAGGAGCAACACGAGGGAGCGCCCCGCAGTTGCGAGAGGCGATGTCATGTTCTACGTTTGCCAGTGAAGAAAAGGAATGCATGTGGAGCAGACAAGGGTGGGACGGGAATCGTTGCAGAGGTGTTAATATTTATAAGTTAAGGAATTAGTCAGCTATTGTTTTGGGATTTAGCGTAAGTTATTATTTATATGATTGGCGATACGTGAAAACCTTTCTGAAGTGACAAAACAACTGGTAATTGAACATTTATGCACCCTTGTTTTGTACCTGCTTTATAGGACTGCCACTTTAAAGGGATTCAGTGGGCTCTTTTGTGTGAGATATGCATGTCAAGTGTATTTTTTGAAACTTGTGCAAACGTGTATTATTAATGTTGCGAAAATATAAGGGTAAGATTGTTACGTTCGAGTTTGGTGGGAGGAAGTAACAATAAAATAAAAGCGAATTCGACCCTAGAGATGGGATGGAATTATTTTAGGTTTCGAAATCAAAGAAAAGTTTGTTATTGTAATCGCGGCATACCATTCCTTACAACTAATTACAACGTTGACAGCTAATTAGGCTATGCCATGGGGGTGTGCTTGTAGTACATCAAAGATATTATTTGTTCAATGTTCTCTTGCAGCTGATCAGAAAGGCAACGTGAAAGAAACGGGCTGATCAAGATTGGAGAAGTACTAATATTTCACCATGGCGAAGCTGTCGCCTTCGAATCCTTTGGCGTATATAATTAATCGAGAATATGTTCGGAAGAACAATTTCACGAAAACATTAATTCGGGAAAGATTAAATTGCGCTCGCAGTTTATTCCGGAAGGATCTTCTGGCACATTATGGTTGTGTTAATGCAATTGAATTTTCACACAGAGGAGATCTTCTTGTGTCTGGTAAGACACATGAAAAAGTTGGAATAAAATATTTATAAATCACATATTTTGCAATCCTCATGTAATTGTTTTGTTCATAGAATTTATAAAAACAATTTTCTTTTTTTAATGTATTTTGTTAAAATTTGCTCAGTATAATAAATACAGAAATAAAGTAAGGTAAATGTAAAATCTGTGGTTATTGTTATTATTGTTGTTATTTTTATTATTATTATTATTTTTATTATTATTATTATTATTATTAAATTTGTTCAGTAGTATTAGTGTTATTTGTCAGGTATTATTATTATCATCTGCAATAGGTGGTGATGACAGGCGAGTGTTAATATGGAATGTTGAGCAAGCAGTACAAGGTATTGCCAAGACAGTTGCTATGCGTTGGCAACATAATAGTAATATATTTTGCTTGGGATTTGATAGCACCAACAGCAAAGTATTTTCAGCTGGTAATGATGATCAAGTTATAGTTCATGATGCATCAACGTGAGTAGTTACTCGATACTCGTTTCTGTGATACGAGAAAGTAAACTACAAAATGTCCTAAAATACAATATTTTTTAGTGGTGACGCTGTTAACTTTTTTCTGCATGAGCAACCAGTCTATGGCTTATCAATTGATCCATTGAATGATAATGTTTTTGCTAGTGCATGTGATGACGGGAGAGTTCTTCTGTATGACATTAGAGAACACGCAAATTCAGGTAATTATGTAGTTGTGTAAAACATATTTTATAGTCTTAAATTATGTCAATAAAATATTATAAAAATTGTGTTGATCATCAGCACACATTAGAAGATTTGGCAGGTTTTAACTCTTGAACTGCTTATCTGAACAATGTGGATTGATTATTCTCATTTTTGTTTAGAACCTTTCTGCCTTGCTAGTTATACTTCGTCATTCAATGCTGTGATGTTTAATCCTTTGGAACCACGTATGCTGACAACTGCTAACTCAAAAGAAGGTGTTGGATTATGGGATGTTAGGAAACCCTGCCAGTAGGTGCTTCACATTGGTGTATGATTTTTTTATAATGCAATTGCTGTTTGGAATCATAATATAATTCTTGCTTTGTAGAATTCTTTTGCAATATGGAAACCTTGATGTGTCTCAAAGTTGTATGAGTGTTCGCTTTAACCATAATGGAACCCATATTCTTGCATTACGTCGTCGATTGCCTCCTGTATTATATGCAATTCATTCTCCTGAACATATATGCCAGTTTGATCATCCTGGTTATTACAATTCTTGTACAATGAAGAGCTGCTGTTTTGCTGGAGATGATGATGAGTATGTACTATCAGGCTCGGATGACTTTGGCTTGTATGTATGGAAAATTCCCACTTCAGATGAGAAAGGTATTACTTTAGAATTAAATATTGCTTATAATGAAGAATTGCTCTTCTTCAAAGGTTCTCAATAAATGGGTAAATTTTACAGATCAGTGGGTTGACAGAGCTCACATGATTTTGAGAGGTCACAGATCAATTGTGAATCAAGTTCGCTACAATCCTTCCAGTTGTATTATTGCCTCATCAGGTGTGGAAAAATTGATTAAGGTTAGATCCCATTCAATTTTGCAGTTCTTTCTTCAAAAAGTTTAAATTTTGCTGTAATAATTATTCTAATGCTATAGTTTTGGAGTCCATTTGCTCTCCCTGAGGCGTCGGGTAGTTTAATGAAAGACACTGAACCATCAGACAATCTGAGAAAAGTATTCACTCATGAAGAATACATCAGCTTGGTGTTGCAGAGTGGAGAGGTGAGTTATTAGAAATAAAATATTTCCTAACATATACAGGTAATCAACTGTATTGAAAGATGAGCTTGGGGATTTTAATGTAATTTTGTCATTGCAGTTTATGACACATGATTATAGTCACAAATCAACAAAGGAAGACCCTCGAATGATGGCCTTTTTTGATTCATTGGTTCAACGTGAAATTGAGGGTTGGACTACAGATGAAAGTGCCAGTACTGAAATGTCAGTTCATGAAGTTGCTGGTTCTGCATCCGAGTCTGATTCTCCCCTTTCAGGTGACTTATTACTAATTTATTGCTGATAAAGCATGGAATTTAAGATGAATACTTCTGATTCTGGACACAACTTATCCTCTCAAACAATCCTATGTAGCAAACATAAATTTATTTAAGAGATTTGTCATATCTTGACACTCGCAGAACAACCCCATTATAAAAGACATCTGGGGGCACATGTTTTTGTCTCTTTAGGTAGTGAAAAATGCTAGTGTGAGGTCATATATTTTTTTACCCAAGGTAATCTTAGGTAAATTATTACTTATATTTTTTATAGTTATCAGTAGAGGGCTGATTTTAATGAATTTTTTTCTTCTTCTCACTGTAGAGCAATGCTTTAGTATAGAAATTCATTTTGTGTTAAAACAAAACGTCACATTTTTATGTCTTTTTTTGCATTTTTTTGTCTATTTCGACTTATAAGTCTTTTCTTTTTTTTTCCTTTCTTTCCTTTTAAAGTAATGTAACTGCATGTTTTCATGTTTTGCTGATTTAATTGATTTTATTATCATTTTAATGGTACTTGCTCCAAACAATATTTACAAGTTGCAACAAATGTTCACCTCAGAATTTCTGAGTAGCCAATTTGATTTCTTCGCTCATATATGGTAGTGACAGCCATTGTGAGTACTATGTAATATAAGGTTCTTGTGACATTTATTGGCACCATTGTCAGTTTGGTTGATTTAGCGATAAATAAAGGCAGAGATTTTCTTTTAAAGAACAGTCCAAGCCCAAAGTTTGCAAGCTGAGTTTACTTGAACAAAAGGAAGAAGCCTTCATTACATCAGTAACATGCTTAAGTTATTCACCTGGAGTGGTTTTGATCAAATTTTTTATGTCATTTTTCTTTGTTTTTAGGGCAGTTTTAAAGCATTTTATTGATCATTTTTGACAATGTTTTAGGTCATCAAAATCCGCCCCCAGTTATCAGCTTTAAGTTGGATGTCAACTTTTCCAATATTGATATTAACTTCTTAACCAAAGCCATCACAATTGGCATTCTCCAAAAAATTGTAATAAAAAAATATTAACAAACAAACAATGGTCTCTAAATTTTGACTTCTAAAGGAGTGCTGTTCACTAGATAAGCAGCAATATCTATGTTTACATAGATAAAGCTCATTATGGAGCATGTTAAGATGATGGGCCTTATGCCTACTTAATACTTGACAATCTCACTGTTCACCTGAACACTGAGTTATCAATGCCTACACTTTTTCCACATTGTAGATTTAAACACACTGATGATGCCTATGACACTTTTTAAGAAAGAGTTCCGTACAATTCAAATTAGAATGTACGTATCTGAATATTTGAATTCTATTTAAGGAGCAGAAGTAGAGTGGACACAAGAATTACAGGTCACAGTCCAGAGAAGTTACACCAATAGTTACTTTGATACCAATTCTCACTGAACGAATTAATTTTCCCTCAGCAGCTACCACCATTTTATTGTGCTAGCTTCAGGAAATTATTTTACCATATCTGCAAAGTGTGTATTTTTGCTCTAAGTAAAATTAAAGAACTCTTTTAAAAGCAAATCGACGAATGTTTGACTATTTGCAATGTAATCCTTTTGCTAATAACAAACATGAAAATTGAATTTGCAATTCTCAAATTAGTATCTGATAACTTGTATCAAATAATATAACTTCCTCTATTAAATGATTTGGTAAAAATTACATTTGCATAATTTCAATTTACACAAATTTCATCTGTTTGTATTTGATTTGAAAAAAATGTTCTGAACATACTGAGATAACATCTTAGGTATCCTAAGAATATAAAATTATTACCCTTCTCATTATTTAACAAAAATATTATATTTTCAACATAAAAGCATCAAGGTAACAATTACTTCGCATTCTTGTGTGGCGTTTTAAAACTTGAAATTTACTTTTGCTCATAAGAATGTACATGCATTTTCACAATTACTACTGTCTGAGTTAGGTTAAGACCCAGCATTACAGTTTGTCTATGCAGTGTCTCTGACTATGCAGACCTATGGTTTAAGTCCCAGTGGTGGATTTTTGATGCTAGGTAGATTGAATTCAACTGCTGTCTGAAGGAGAATTCTAGAAATCGGCTGCTCATTGGTAGTTTTCTATGCTTGTTTTGATCCACTACACCACCACATATGACAGGAAACCATTGGGGAACTTAGCGCTTGTCCCAGCTGGGATCCTACACCACTGGGGGAAGTAATTGCAAAGGGAAATCCTAGAAGTCAGTGTGTAGGTTGGCACCAGAACTCACCATCCAGGTGGGAAGGAACACCCCCATCTCCTGGGATAATACTTTCACAACACTTCAAGTCTAGCAGCCATAGCAGTTGATGTGCCCCGAAACTTCTATCACTTTACAACTACTTAACTTGCAGTGTTTTCTCTCTCAAATTCTTGGTTACTTGCAAAATCCATACTCAGAAAAATTAGTTACAATTCTTGTGTGTAATTCATTAAAGTTCTAAAAACACAAAAAAAATCATTAAAAATTCCACAATTATGATATTACTGCTTTTTAATTGAAAGTTTTAACTCAACTAATTTATTTTTCACTTTCCACAATTATAAGGAAACTCCTGTTCAGCTTTACAGCAAAACAAAATTGCATAACATACTTTCTGCTTTACACTATTATTGTTTAAATGATTGAGTTTTAGGGATTGAGATTCCATTGAGATTTGAGATTGATCGATTGAGATTTTGAGATTCCATTCTCAAGGCTTCTCGCACATTCAGATTAGTAAAATTCATTTTTGCAGTAGCTAAAATGACAGTTTCATCACAAGAAAATGGAGATTTTGTTACTGTGGTACAACTATAGCAAGAACTAAAATTAAAAAATGATTTGTTTGATTTTAACCAAGAGAATAATGTACTTTTTAATGCATTTAAAAATGCTGTAAATAGGTATAAAAAGGCACTTCCATATAAATAGCCCACACTCCCACCCCACGCCAAGCAAAATAAAAGTTCCAACGAAATGTTTCATAATTCAAGCATGTATGCTAAATGCTTTTAAATATTTCCATTAGAATAAAAAAATTCAGTTGCCTTAATATCCAATGTTTAGTAGTAATGGTCACTTTTTGATTAAAAATGAATCTTCCTGCTGTGGAACTACCAGTCTTGAAGACTTTTTTTTTTTTTTTCCCCCTCTTACTACCGATTTCCATGTACTGTTTTAGTATAGACCAATGGTCTATTCCTATTCTTCCAGTAATTCTGCCTTGTACTTTTTTTGATAATTTCACAAACTTACACATTTGCTGATCTGATGGCCGAGATTGCTAAGGAAGTAATGGCTTAGCGATCTTCGACCGAATGATCGTGGGTTTGAGGTCGCCTCGGGCATGGTTATATTGTGTTCACCCCCTATCATGATCATCATATCGTGTTATCGTCACGATACGATCCTCAGTTACCATACTGTTTCAAGCAATAGTTGTCGCTAATGACCAAGAAGTTGATGCAACCTTAAATAACAAAAAAGAAAGAAAAAAAAAAAAGGTTTATTACACACAATTTTTTATATTCATTTGTCTTTATACTCTTCATATTAAACATGTTATATTCATGATCTTGTTCAATTAGACAATTAAAAATTAAATACTTTAGATAAACTCGAGAGAAGCTTCTACAAATCACAGTTCAGATTAATCACACCTTGCATGTAGCAAATTAATATTATCAGATCTGATCAGATGGAGGCCATAGCTAATTATGGAGAGTTTTTTCTTGTATAATACAACACAAATATCAGAGTGAAGGAGCTTTTGACAGAGAACACATGTCTTGTAGTGTCTGCCACTAAACAATGGAAGAGAAAGTGGCAGCAGATTTTTACCTTTCACTGGGTTGTTTCTGGAAGTATTTCCATGGATGGAATACCTTATATGTAGCTTTGTTAATGATACCAACTTGTCACATGCTTTTCTGCAGGGGAAAATTGTTTGATTGGTCTTCTCACTCTTGGAAAAAAATTCCTATGAAAGCAATATTCCGATTGGGGTCAAAATTACTTGTATAAATGGGTCTTATATGATCAAAGGAAATGTCCATGATTTACTATACATTGAGACTGGGCAGCCCATACTGTCTCTCCTTACATCAAAGTTGATGATTTCTTTAAAAATGTATGGGGGTGTACAAAAACAAAAATTTTCGGAAATAGAGTGAAATTTTTGCATGTTTTTATAGTTATTAAAGAATTCAAATTCATTATCACGTTATTACAAATGTGTACATATCAGTATTTTATCTATGATGCCTCCTTTTCCTTTTTTTTTTCTATTTCATCTTAAAGTGCATATTAATTGATAGGAAGACACTGAATGCCTTCTAATGAACTCTAATGTTTTATTCATTTGGTGAAACTGTGCAGGATGGTATAAAATTTTATGAGTAAAGTGTAAGATGAATGTTTTTAGATCTGTTCAAAATTGTTGGTATGAATCATTGTAAAATGATCAAGAATTAATAATTATAATAAATGTTTGCAGTTATGTTTAAAAATTCTCTTTATTTTTTCTTGCATCCTAATTAACCAAAATGTGTCTTTGGAAATTCTTCAGATCATGTATTTCATTATAAGGCTGATAACATTCGAAAGGGTGTGCTATTCAATTAATAACACTTTTGTAGATACACAATTTTAAAGGGCAATATGCTAAGTGAAACAATCAGTAATAAACAAAATTGTTTTAATCATACACATGTGGCCAATTTGTATCAGTATTGATGGTGGTAAAAATAATTTTCAATTTCTCGTTGCGTTATGCGTTTAAAGTACTAATCACGTTTTTAAGTGTTCTGCAGAAGTAATTAACAAGTTTCGAATCTAACAAATAAGCAACAAAAGTGTACTTTAGAGAAATATAATTTGTAGGTAAACATTTATTTCATAGAAAGGAATAGTCAGGTCATGAGTACGGTGTACAGAAATAATTTTTGTTCTAAAGAAACATTATTCAAAGGAATTTGAAGGGATAAATGGCAGTAGGTTGTGTGAAAACGTTATATAAGCTGTGGCAGTATGTTGCATATTGCACAATACATTGGACATTGTATTAAAGATTTTAATTTTTTTCCAAATAAATTATATTTAAAACAGAAAACAATTATAATTCGGAAAATTTATATTACATTATAATTTTATATTCCTAGATAAGATAATATCAATGACTGTTTTCCTCTTTTGTAGATACACCTGTAACTGCTCTTACTGCTGCTCTAGTGGAGGCTTTGGAAGGGCAAGGCAGTGCTACGGAACCTTGTGAGTATAATTCATCATTGTGTAATATATAAGAAAATTCCTTTGTTTTTCATATTGTAATAGAAAATGATTGTTTTTAGCAACAATTGAACCAGGTGACGATGTTGGCGAAACAAATTCCACTGACGCCCAGAATAGAATATCGCAGCTCATTGCAAGAAAACGTGCACAGTTGATGCGTCTTGCTCGTTCACAAAATAGTGAAGATGTAGAAATAATGCGACCATCTCGCACTCGAAAGTTATGTTTGGTGGAACGTAGTAGTGACAGTAGCGATAGTGGAAGAGAAGTGTCTGTGGCAGCTGAAGATTCATCTAGCCACAAAAATAGTGAAACCATTGATACCAATGGTTGTGAAAGTGAATATCGCAGTGGAAAAGCTGGCTCATCTTCTAAAAGCAAATATTTTGATTTTAAGGACAATGTTGATACAAGAAAAAGGAGAATTAAATATTTAAGGCATTATAGTGATTCATCAGATGATGATAATTGGTATTTACATCAAAAGAGGAAAAGGAAAGCTCCAAGTTGGCCTTCAGATTCTAGTGATTCAGACATGTGTGTTTATGACGATGACAAAGAATCTGTTTCTAATAACAAAATTGTCCTGAAACATAAGAATAAAGTATGTGTCATGAAAGGAAGAGAAAATGATTCAGATACCTCAAGTTCTGATGATGACAGTGGGCAAAACGAGAATCAGGCTAGCACCAAAGTGAAGCGGAAATCTTCAAAGTGTGAAAAATTCAGTCATCTGAATAGGAGATCTAATTTCAAGCCCAGAAGTAAAGCTTTTCATAAAAAAATTAGTGAAAATATAGTTGATGAATTTCTGTCTGATGAAACTTCCGATAGAAATGGTGAACATTCTAACTCATGTGTAAACGGAAATGATGCAACAGTTCCTACCAAAATAATAAATAAAGAGGCCTTAATTGAGTGCATAGAAGACTTCAATAAGGAGCCAAATTTACCAGTAACACCAAATAGTCGTATTAGCAGTGGAGCTTCATTTCAAGATTCTGAAACTCCTGACAGTGGTATTGCTTCCACAAGTAGTCCCTTTTCTCGACCTAGTAGTAATAGTAGCCATAGAAGTATATCACCCAGAAATAAGAGTCCAGAGCAGGCTGGTGAATCAAGTTGTAGTCTTATTTGTCAGCCTTGCTGTAATGAAGAAAATATTGTTGAAAACCCTCACAGTAGTGTTCTTGGTTCAAATGTTCACGTACGAGTATCAGATTCCATTGGAAATCCCAACAGCAACCTTTCAGAATTTGTTTCCAGTGAGAATAGAAGCAATTCTGATTGGACTGTATTTCAAAGATTTAGAAATCGTGTGAACAGAATGCAGAGAAATTTTAGGAAGCGAATTAGTGATGATTCTGATTCAAATTAAGTGGCCTCTCTTGATGTTTTGTAAATTTTTATAAATATTAATGTACATAAATATATGAGGACTTTGTGTTTTTTGTGTGTAACTCATACCTATTAGACATTGCTTTTCTGATGATTTTGTCTGTTGTTAGCATTTGATTATGCATTACAATACATTATACATTTTCTTTACTTCTTGGTTGTTTATGAAAATTTGTTTGTTCTATGTAGTTTTAATTTTATTTAAAGGCAGTTATTCTTATTGCATAACAAAATTCTTACATGTATATTAGTATAAAGAATTTATTACTACAAATGCTGCATTACTGTTATTTATATTTGAAAATTTATTTTCATTAATTATGCTGTTATAATTATTTAGTTTTTTTCTTTTGAACACATTTTTTTTATTAGGAGGCCATCATCTTCAGGCAGAAGTATTGGGAGGAAAAAATATACATATATATATTGATTGTGAAGTTGTATGCTTTAGATTTTAGACTATTTGTATAGTTTTGGCAATGCATTTGTTTTTTTTCTTATGGTTTCTTCACATAAGAAATTTCATGAAGCAGTAGTCTATGTTGTGTAATTAGAACAAAACAATTTTTTGAAGTAATTATTTTCGCTGCAGATGATGGCATAGGTTATTTCCTTCTCTATTGAAGGAATTCTGTAGGAAGATATTGTGGATTCTATGTTTGCCACAAACTGTAAAGAAATGCTATGTACATAGATTGCACTTCATGTTAATGTGTTATATGTTTAATTCAAATACAAAATATATGTGCACAAAAATTTCTTTAATTTAGATGTAAAAGTACTATTTAGAATATGTTTAACTAAAATTTCATCTGGACAATGTACATTTGGAAACTTGTGTCAGAAAAACAACAAAAATACCTCATTGATTAGAAAATAATGCTATTTGGCAAATATTTCCCTGAGATGCCTGTCATACAGACTTTTTTCTCTTTACCTTTTAATCATCTAGCATATCTCTGTAATATGCACTTGGATGTACAATGTGTATGTATAATTCTAGTCATAAGATAAAAGGCAAGTTATAGAAATCATTGTTCTTTAATTTGTGCTTCTGTATTAATTTTTTCTTCCTTTACTAGATGATGTAACTAATAGAGTTCTATTGATAAATATTATTGTGACACCTAATAAATAAATTTGTGAATTAATTATAGGCGATATTGCTTTCTGTTCATTCAGTTTTAATTGCTTTAATGATCAGCTATTTCATGAGTAAACATATTTTCATTTGTGTTAAAACTGCCTAAAAATGAGAGGTTGGTAATGTTTGTTTCATTTACTGATTTTGCGAAGTCTTTAGATTTAAAAAATTGTTTGTGGTAAATAATAATTGTTTGGGATGCCTAGGTTAAGTTGGGAAGAGTTGAATTAAAACTCAGTGTTTCAGATCAGGAAGAAATAGTTTTAAGTTTTGATAATGAAATGAATACACGAGTATATAAAATGACGAAAGAAATTCCGAGAAGACTATCTGAAGAAATGAAAAGTTTGCTAAATGAAGACATTTTTGGGCAAGGTTGATAAGGCAGCTGGCTGAACGTCTTCTAGAAAATTGTGCCAGAACATAATGAATTTGTCATAATTTTCTCTTACAAGATTTTCAAGTAGTGTCCTTGTTTCAACTGAGGAAATGTGTTTTGGTGTCTTTTTCTTTCTTAGGTATGTACATTTGACATTTTTCCTTCCTTAACTGGCATTGCACAGATGACATGTTGCCATATAAAATTGGTTCCAACATTGTGTTTTAAGTAAGTGTATGTAGCTTCTACTGTGTGAATTGTACATTGTGTAAATTAAATAGTCTTTCATTCAGGTATAGAGAAACACTACACTATTATCATATGTACCATGTGATGTTATTGGCAATGGGGAATTATTGAATAGCCTAGGGGTCTTGTGTTGTGTAAGAAATAAAATTCAGATTTGCCAGAGCGGAACTAAAATATATTTTTGTATGATAGACTCTGTAAAAGTGTTGCGAGAGATTTTCTTTGGAAGTGTTACTGTAAATTTCGCCAAAACAGTGCTTTTTCAGAAAATAGAACTGTAATATTGTGCAAGATATAGAGAACCTATTGTGACCTAGAATAAAAAAGTTGTTTCTTTTAAAAATAGTCCTAAAATATGAGGACTGTGGAAAGCCAATCTTTTCATTGAGAGTAGTCCTTTTCAAGGTGACATGTACCAATGAAGACTGATTATTGTTTTCAGATATGTGATGTAGGGTGAATATATTAGACTGAAATATTAAGTACACTGCACTGAACTTTCTTTTTCTTTCCTTTACCTACTTCCTGCTGCCTTTTTAATAATAAATTAATAAGTGTATATTAATTTTTTTGTAATTAAGATTTTTTTCTATTATTTAATTGACATTTTTGGTCTATCAATTTTGTTTAAAATATTTAAATTCCTTTCTAAATAAATTGGTGCTAATGTGTTTTACTTATACATAGGTGTGGCTGGCCTCCAGGATGACCATGACTATCTATGTTTCCCAATTCTGAACTAAAGATTCTGGTAATAATAAAATACCTACAGAACCAGGCATGAAGTGGACCTGACTATCCTAGGGTTGTCATTAGGAAAACAATAGGGTCATCCGAAACATATTTCAGAGCAAATTTATTATGTTTATTCAACTAGTGTATCAACTGTAAAATGAAAATAGTATTTTACGTAAACTGCTAATAAATAATAAACTAATAAATAGTAAACAGTAGATCAAGACAAATTGCATTGCACACTTTCGATTAACAGTGTGACAATACCCTTTCTGGGATGAATTTCCTTGACTTTTCTAGGATATTTACTTCAGTTTTTCATGACAAAATTTGTGAAGTATATCAAGGTATTTAAATAAAATATTAAATAAAGCATGGTTTTGGTCGATATTAAATCACTATTATCAACTGAGTCCTTTTCTCCTTTATGTTCCAGATTATCTTGCACTAACACATTGTGAGAGAAAAAGAGGTACTTCAATTCAAAACACACAAAACCATCTATGTTTCGGGTCTCAGATTGCACAGTTCCCTAATGTCCAATGTTTCTTCAAAATATTCCCTAACTTTTCCAGGTCAATGGAAATCTCTGACTTCCCGTTTTCCAAGAAGCGACAAAAATAAATTAAAGTTTCTTCGAAAGATTTCTTTTTCTTTCAAAGAAGATAATCTCTCGAACCAGTGAAATTATAACGGTATAAAAATTCAAGACATTTAGCAGAGACAAAGAAAAATCTGGCAAGACAGCGGGAGATATGTCAATATTCAGAACATATGACAACCTTAGAGTATCTCAGCAGATTTCAGAGTGAATTGAGAGAATGAAAAAAATTTGCGAACAAATCTGATATAGAAACAGCTGGAAATCGAGGGTTATAATTGTCCCACCCAGAGAATACTTCGAGTAGTCTTAAGGTGGAGCAAATTCAGCAGTATTGAAGGCCAGGATTCTGCAATGAAATTTTTTTTCAGAATCGTCTTAATAGCTACTCACATGAAAATTTGTTTAAATATTTATTTTTCTTGTTTATGAAAGTGATATTTTTTCCATGACTATAGTCTGGCAATTGGGAGAGCAAGTCTTACAATTATAATTTTTTTAAATTAATGCTTAATATACTTTCCTTTTAATTTATTTTCAGAATTTTTTAAACATTAAAAATTGTATATACATTTTT